TTCACCAGGAAGTGAGAGCTACTGGAACTCGGCTTGGATAATGATGGCTTTCGTCTTTCTGAATCTTCTTGCATCACGAAAAGAAATTTTCTGTTCCATAGCTTTTGCCTGATATAGCGAAATCAAGAGGTTTTGGCAGTACAATGTGACTGTAAAGAATGATCAAATCACACAAATAGTTGGCCTCTTAGGCACTCTTGCGGTTGTGTTCGGGTATGACTGGTTTTTGAGACAGTCCTCGACGGCTGGCGGCACGATGGCGAGTGAGAAGACAAAATCGAACAAAAAAAGAGGCAAACAAATCTTACCGAGTTAAACAAAGCGAATAAACCAGCAGGCAAAACAAAAATATCCTAAGCAAGAGTTGGAACCATTATAATAAGGCTAGAGCACCATCAATAGGTAAAACACCATTTAAATCATCAACTAACATCTTCAGCATCTTGCTCCTTCCCGTCAACATCTCTTTCAATCGGAAGCAGAGACAACGAAGTTAGTTTGACATTTGAGAGTGTCCCACCCCACCTTTTTATTTCTCCTCACTAGCACAACAAGAAAATAATAATTGTAAACTGCTATTTTTGCACTAAATTATCTTTCTCTCTACCTCATTGCCAACGCCGTCAAGCAGACGAAATGTCGCAGTGGTTATTCCTCAATTATTCATAACCAATCGCGAGACGATAAGCGACGCGTGTGACCGGGCAAACTCGTCCACAAATCCGTCCGCCAACCACTGCTAGCCCAGAGGTGCTTACTTTGATGTTGAACCGGTTTTGAAAACACAGCACTCACACCCACATCTGGCCGCTGGGGCCTTTGATTTTTGGCCGATCGCTTTGAAGTGCTTTCTCGCGTGCAACTCGTCCTATCTAATCGCTCTTTGCATTGTTTTACGCGTTCTTGCGCGCGCCGCTGTAAGGTCGAAAAAACCAAAGCGCAGAGAGTAGAGTTGATTCTGCTCTTCCGAAATCTGCTTATTCATTTCTCTTCCTTAAACTCTAGTTTTGGCCGAGTTGTTATAGCCGCTTTTATTCTTGGTAATGTACCTTTGAGCTCCGAAATTTATTTTTCTTGGGATGAATATGCAGTTCCGACATCCCTTTTCCCTTTTCTCTATTACTTGCCTACAATAAATAAGCCAACTCAAATTTACGATAACTAAATAGAATGATTGTGGATTACTAAATTCACATAATACTACTTTGATTAATCTTTACTAGTTCTTTCCTTTCTCTTCTTCTTTCTCTTTTCTTTTCCTTTCTTTTTTCATTCTTACGATCTTCCTTCACTACTGATGAGTTCCGGGAAGATCGTATTTCTACCTTTTTTCCGTATAGTGATAAGGAACGAAACGGAAATTAGGTATTTCTTTGATTTTTGTTATCGTTGTCATAATCCTACTTCTTAACTCAAGTAGAGCATCAAACCAGTTTTTGTTGATTATGGAATACTATTCTGTTATCTCTCAAACTTTTCGAAAACAATTTCGTGTGTTAGTATGCCGGACCCAGGTTTATACGGTGGTATCTTTACACGACCTTACGTTTCAAGAGACCTTTCGTTTTTGAGAGAACATGGAACTTTCGAAAACGATTGAGGTCAATTTCAAATTGTTCTCGTCCGTTTCTTTCTCTCATGTATGTCCTTAAATATTCCCAACTTCCTCTCAAATATGCATGAGATGCACGATAAATGCAAAACTTCTGAGGCTAGCTAAATATTTGATCAAAAACGTAAATCTGGTATTTGCTAAATGGTTGAAGATTGAACTACTAACTACTCGTAATAAAATAAATGTTCAGCTTTCACAAAATAATTTCGCTTGAAATGCGAGTACGCGAGTACGAAGCTCCGAAACAAAGAGGCAGTTTAGAACCTCCTTCATCATATGTCAGTTTTTAAAGAATTTATGCTAGTAAAAGAGTCATGTCTTTCATGGCCAGGGTGTCAAAAAGTCACATATAAAAAACTTTTCGAAAATAGAGTCGACCACCTCTTCTTCAACTAAATTTTCCAATGATGCCATACATTCACAGAAATTTCGCAATTTCATAAGTAGCATTTCTACAAACCATCAGAAGCAACGAGATTATTTTTTAGCCAAGCTAAAATTTATTTGGTGTGACCCAGAGGAACGCAGACATCTTCGTTCCTCAAAGTATTGGTCCTCACACTATAAGCAAGAGCATGAGCGAGAGGGGTCTGCAGTCCGCAGCGACGGTGCCAGCCTAAGTTAAAGGCAGTTGCTCGCGAAAATTGCAACTACAGCTTTCCATCAGCTTTCCAAGCTTTCCTTGGCTTTCTGGATGCGCTGAGTCCACGGTTGTGCTCAAAAATTCGAAATAGTGCTTTCATGGCGTTTTCCGGTCGTAAAGATTGCTGGAGGGGATGGACAAGGGAAGCCAACTTAGTCGCGATTGGCTGCCTGAGCCGATCAGCCAATTGACGCCAAAATGGGTGGAGTTACAGTATCCTGCTGCCAGTCGCTGTTTTTTGGCGGGAATCTCTCGCCCAGCCCTTTCCCATCCCTCAGGCCGGAAAACGCCAAAAAAAAAACACTTTTTTGACTTTTCAAGCATATTCTCGGACTCAGGGAATCCAGAAGGCTTTGTTGGTGCGCTCGCACTCGCAATTTTTACGAGCCACTGCCTTTAATCGTTCTTCAGCCTTGTATATGTGCTTATCATCTCCCTTCTCCTGCGTAAATTATTACATATTATCTTTGTCCTTTACATCAAATATTTTTTGTTTTTTCTTGAAACTTTGAATCATAGCAAATCTTGCAGCGGGCATTGGCTACTGCAGATCAGAGGCATGGTAACGTACTCATTAATGAGCTTCCACTGTAAATGGAAATTCAACCTAGATCAAAAACTAGGTGCAAATCCTCACATCCTTCCCCAGCTTTCATTTCACCCTTCGATGTTTACATCGTTGCATTTGTTTCTCCGTGTGTCTTCCGGGTTTCAATTATTTGTAGTTTGTTTTTGACAAAGCGAAAGAAGACAATGCATAGGCACTTAGACCATACGGTGCTGATTTCTAATTCCGCATACGAAGCTGTTGTCTGACTTCTCGCTGTGTTACCGCGACAATGCCAAAATCATGGAATCTCGCAACTCCACCATTATCAATGTATCTGCATGACTTAATAACTCTTAGAGAAGAAACTGTTTTTATGAGCGAATAGCAATGTTGGGATACCAAGCTGGTAAAGAAGAACACTCACAAGCTTTCGCAAAAGATCTGAAAAGTCCATCAAGATCTAATTTTACTCATGACTACTTTTTGCATGGCTTATAATACTTTCTATTTACGAAAATATCGCTTATGGAATGGTAGTACGAGCAGCTGTAGTTTTCATGCTAGTTTCTAGAATTTTTGATTTCGTTTAACAGAAATTGCTAGTACTTATGATTGCAACGTACGTCATACATGAGCAAAAAGTTGTAAAGTGTACCATGTCGTTCTTCAACACGTTTTACTCATTTTCCTCGAATTTCAAATGAATTTACTGTTTGAATTAAAGTGAATCTCATCTAAAATCTTCCCTTTTTGAGTTCAATGTCATGCCTCGGTCAAAATTAGGGTGCAGTGAATTTTCTTTACGACGTAGAAGAAAACTGGAGGTAGCGAAGAAAAGGGAGAACCAAAAGTCGAAGTTTATTTTACTCGCAAGTCACAAGCAGATTGTCGGCAATCACAAACTGGCATTCATTCACGCGCAAATGTTGTTAGCAGCGAAAGTAGCTTATATCTTCGTTTGGAAGTGACAGCAGGTCAATCAGTATGACCTATTTTCTATTTCCACCTATTTTGTTGATTCATGAGAAGGGCTCTAGATCATTCATGCGCTCTAGTGTGCTACCCTCACAAAAAACATTCCATCAGTTCTCGTTTATTTGCTGAGATCTCAGCGAACAGCTTACGTCATTCGTTTCCGTTGAACTTGAACCGTCTATCCGAGTCCAAGGCTACCTGAGCTCGTCTTTCAATTGTTTTGAAATCTGTGTAACACTTGCCATAAACTTCAGCCAGCCGAAAACATGTTTTCTTTTTCAGAAGGTGCTAAATCACAGTAGTTCTTGCGTCGAGGGAAAATCAAATTTTTCCACTTGAAAATCAACCAGCATGCGTGGATGACGTTTTTATGGAGTTTTCCTTGCCAACGCGAATTAGCTTTTCGGAATTTTATTACTTTTTATATTATAGCCTTTTTGCGCTGGAATCAAAAGGCTTTTTTGACGGAGAGAGAGAGCTAGGCTGACGTAAACATCAATCCTAATCCTCAAAGCAAATTTCACGTGCGTCTAATATTAGGCTCAATTTCTGATTGCCAATCTAACATGCGACAATTAAAAACACTTTTCTGTAGAATTTCAACAAAAACTTCAGGAATGCTTGATTTTCCATCTAATAAGTTTTTCGCTGCCAAATTACTTTTGTTCCTCCTTGCTCTGATTTTTATTATAAGTATAAAATATTCGGAGGAAATGGATCGAGGAATTGGTCACTTCAATCGTTTGTTCCTTTCCAATTTTCATTGCAGTTGACATCACATATAATAGAAAGAAGGGGGAGATGGGGGCGAGTAGGCCAATTTTGAGTTTTTCTTCTGTTTTATTATATCGTAGAAGGTAATCCATGTTGCTTTGGTAATTCCATCTTTTCCGCGTTACAATCACATTTTGCCTATTTGTGTATGGTTAATTAATACAAAAAAAAACTCGAACATTGATTCATATACTTTATTCTCACTTTTATTTTGATTTTATTTTTATTTGCATTGCAAAAGCCAGATGCTACAACACGATTGTAATAGATCAATTACTCTGTGTGGGATTTGATTGACTAAAACAACACTTTTGAAACTACATCTGATTCAAAATAGGCTGTGTATAATCATTGAAAAAGTATTCGAAGGCAGCTTTGATCTCCATTCCTCCCTTTACACAAGCACGTGGTTTTAGAAGTTTCTTCCGCTTACATCAATTTTTATGTGTGTGAAGTTTGCCAGCTGTTTTTCTATCTCAAAAATTTCGGTTTCGCTGAGCGCACAGCTGACGGGCAGGTTCTCGGCGGTTGCCAAGTGTTATTGTGGTGAGCTCCTTGCTTTCCGATCGGTCTTATGGTTGAGGATTATATCACGAATGAGATTTTTTCACAGTTGAAATATTCAATAAATTATTATCTCACTTTTATACTACGTTCATAGTGCCAATATCTAAATATGAATTGTTCTTCATAAAGTTATGTCAAAACCCGCGGATCCTGATCCAGCGCATTCCTTACTCTCTGCGAATCCCTCGAAATTGCGGTACTCTGCCAAAAATCATAACCGTGAGCTTTTTTAGTCTCGCCAGGTAAATATTCTTTATTCTGAAAGCACATTTTCTAGCAGCGAGCTGAACTCACAAATTGACTAGAAATTCGATCGTAGCTATTCTCCTTCTTGAAGTATCTATTTACTTGTCTCGTGATTTAATAGTGCAATCCTTTCTAAAAATATTTCACGGTCTAGTAGCATATCCTGTCTCTCCGCTCCATAAATTACGTCTTTAAAGTCGAGGTAGCGTTGCCGGGCACCAGGCTTGGCTCTATGCTGGCAAAGTCAACAAAGCATCTCACAGACTTTGTCTCTAATCTATATCTAATTCATATTTCGATTTTTCAAATCTGGAACTATCTCTTGCAGAATAACTGCTGCAAAATGCATCGTTTTGGGTCATTTGTCAGCAACCAGCAACGCAATGAACCTTGATTTGTTTGTTTATCGAGTGATAAGCGACAACAAAACTGCAGTTCCCGTTTTGGAGCTGATCTTTCATCGCCGTTTTTGTGTACTTAGCATCTGCGCTTTTTACTCCTCGAGAATGATTTTTTTCTTTTGTAGAATAGAAGGCGTATGACTGAAAAAAAGGAGTGGAAAAAGAAATTATTAGCGTTTCATCCCGGGATGGCCAAGTTCTTCAATCAAGGAGTAGATTCGAAACCTAGCATACCAGGTGGCTACTTTATAAAATAGTTTTCACAACATAAACCTTCTCCTTCCTTTCTAACTCCCTTTCTTTCAAAAGTCCATTTCTGCATGCCTAATAAAACAAGGGAAAGGAATGTCTACATACGAATTACAAACAACAATCCAAATATGACTTTGAAAAGTTTTTTTTCTATCCTTCAGCAACGGATCTCGGAGGCGTCATTCAAACTGCGGTCGGTGAAATTTTGATCTATCTATAAGCGAAGCCCCTAATTAAGTAGTTGGCCAAGTCCCACTGCAAGACGAATTCCGAGGTGAGAAAATTGTTTCAGGAAGTAGAAAAGGCTCAGATGGCTCCGCCTATCAACGTGCATGGTCTGAAGATGAAAAGTTCAAAATTAGGCTTTTATGTATCTCTAGCTTCATATGCCCTTCATTATAATTATTAGAAATTCAACATTTCTACCTACTCCAGAGCCTGCTTTCGAGCTCATTATCTTTAGATTACCCACGTCAATAAATGGAGCCACCTGGACCGCTTCTATCTTCTGAAACGATTTTCTCGCTTCGGAATTCATCCCTTGCAGCGGGAGTTGGGCGATCATCTATTAGCCGTTCCGTTGCTATCCAGCATCAAAATCTCAGAATCCTCAGTCAACGGTGATTCTAAGAACTAGACTGGTGATGTAGCTGTCTTTGCGCCCTTCTAATAGTTCTTAAAAAGCTATCAGTAAGATACAAGGGTGGAATTGAAATTTAAATTCAGTGGAGAAAACATGTAATTAAATTCAGAGATACAGAAAACATTAAAAGTAATACGAGCGGTTGTAGTGGCAGACACAATGGCACGCTCTTATTCAAAATTGCACCTACTCAGATGCATTGTCATTGGTTCACGGTTCATGTAGACCATGTATAAAGGGAAAATGAATAGCTGACAAAATGCAGGATAAAGATTTTTGATGTTAGGGATGGTGGAGGATATTCGGGAAGTGTTCACTTTCCCACCCATTAGTATTAAATTTCCTATCCAGTTTTATTGTTCTGTTCTAAAATTCTAGACAAAGAAATTCTTATGGATTCTATTTACCTCTGACTTTAATGTATTGACTATTCATCATTATTTTGGCTAGTATCTACATATATCGAGAAAGTTTGTAATTTCGTGATGTTGGTTTTTTTTTGTATCAAGAGACAAGCCCATGAAAGACATATTACGATACTTTAATTAGCGGCAGAATTTTTCGAAAGCACATAAAGTCCGCTGTAAATGCAATCGCTACAAAGTTCCGTTGATAATCCCAGTCATGTGATTGAAAGCTCGAATTACGCATGCGTACTTCCGGGGTATTGACCCAAAAGATAACCGCGCGGGGGCAGCTTTCTTTCGAATTGGCTAGTCGTATAAAAAGGAGGGGAGGCGGGAGAGAAAAGAGAAACATTGCATTGCTTTTCTATTGCCAGGCTATTCTATCGGAAAGTTATTGCGCTTCCAAAAATGTTTTTTCTCTTTATACGTTGTGAAATTTTCCCAACTTCGGTTTTCCCAAGCGGCATGTGTTATCCATGTGAGGACCATTTATCTTTACGCATACTCTTTAACTTCCTGCGTTGTTCTCGCCCAATGCGGGCCACTCGACGGCTTGTTTGATCTATCCGCTGCTTTTTGTAATCTATCTTTAACCCTCGCCCGGCTCTTCCGCGCATCTTGATCATCGATTCTAGGCGCCTATCTGCCCAACCCGAAGCTTCATCTCGGCACTAAATCCACTGATGTCAAACGTAGCCTAGTGGCATTTCCACAGCAACAGGGCTATAAAAATGCGTGTTAGTGACGTGCACATCAAAAACACCAATACTCTTACATAACTTGTAGTCCGTCCTTCCTCCATTTTCCCTTCTTTCACTTTCACTCCTAATTGTTTGAAGCTTTATCACTAAAGATATGCGCTCCCCGGAAATGGCTCGCGAAATTTTTGCAAGTTACCTAGATGAAAAACTGGTAAACTTGTTCGTCTTGCTCGGCCCTTTTGCGCGTACATCCCGCTGGAGTTGGGGAAGGTCTGGGGGAAATGCGAGACTATGAGGTGATCTCCTGGGGATCTCCTGAAGATTACTTTACATTCTCAAAGTCGTTTTTTATATAAACTCCATGAAAATGCTGTAAAATTGTATCGAGGATATACTATGGCACTCCACATGTTGTTGATAGAAGTGAGTGAAATCTCAACTTATCGAAATCTTCGATGAACCGTTCGCGAGCTGAGGTTCATCGAAAAATTCAAAACTTGCACATTCCATTCGTTTTGTCGAAAACATCCCTAGCAGTGCCATATAGACATCTTCGGAAAGAAGGAGTGATCCTCTGGGGGTTCCCAAGTAATCTCACAAAGGAATAAAAAATCTCAGCTTTATGCATGATTTTCCATCCATTATAATCGTGTATCAAGGTATGAGAACCTTTGGAAGATAGACAGAAAAAGAAGGATACAAATATTATGATTAGCAAAATATGATGCGTCCCCTCTTAGATCCTCTCCCCTTCCCAGCGGGGATGTACTTGCATACGGGCTTAGATGGTTGGAATAATTTTTAGAATTTTAAGTTTGCGCTAGAGTTCATTAAAAATAAAATATCGTTCTTCTAGTTAATGGTTCAGAGTAACGCACCATTATAGAAGCCAGTATAATTATACCATTGATGGAAATCTGTCTTCTTCCCCATCCCTTGTCCTTTTCCTACCCATTTTCTTTCTCAAAAAACTGATTGCCGTGCGACTGTCATGAGTGAATGCTTATTCGAATATAGTAACACCTTTATTACGAAATCTGCACCCTGGGACACTTAGAATGGAATTTCTTCATTTGTATTGCGAATATTTTTTCATAACGCCATGCTTTTATGATTGCTGTTTATCTATTCGGGAACAAAGAGGTTTCACATGCAAAGCATTGCGTTTTGATTGATTTGCAACAGCTGTTCAAGAGTGTTTTGCTCGTGTTTCTTCTCAAAATCATATGATGTATTCCCTCGCTCTAAAGTTCCTCGTTTCGCATTTTGTTCTTTTGTGAGTCTGCAGAACCTCCATATAAGAGTATGTCAATAGAAATCCCGTTTTGTTGCTTATCTTAGACGGAGTTTTCATATTCTGGGCTCTCTCCTGGACTTCTCAGTAAGGAAAAAGGGTTCACAATGTTTGTGAACTTTTTTGAAAAGTTGTAAAGCTCCTCCTGAATTTTTGGAGACTTTTCTGTTAAAAATCTTGTGTGCGATCCGAAAAAACCCTTATCTACACTAAGTTTATAATTTATATTTATTAATTTTTTTCCAGATTTAATCTGGTGGGAAGCTAGAATAATACTTTATTTTAGCTGGTATTCAACACCTATCTCCTTGCCAAATTTTGAAAGGTTCATAATCGATATATTGTATTTACATAGGATGAATAACCCATATGCGGTTGAAAAAGAAGATGATATCTTATGGTTAACATAATCATTGTTGCGAGGCTATCTTTAGTTTGTGAGATTTTTAGCACAGTATCAATCTAGCATGGAAGTTTATTCAGGCTTTCTGCTTTGTGCTCTTTCATCAACGATTCCGATCTCCATCGTTTCTCTCTTTTTTGTCCATCTCGCGGCTATTTCGTACTCATATTCATTTCTCAGACATGGGCACCGAAATTCTTCCCGAAGTGTGCTTTTCACCTGCACCGTCCAGCTTCGACCGTCCATTCCGCATTCACGTGCAAGATCGCACGTTTCTCATCGACGCGGAAAGCATGCGGAAGATCTCACCGGTTGGTTTTTTCGCACTCAATATTGCCGCGCTGCTTTGGCAATGCGGAAATGGAAAACTGTTGTTTTTCTCGAATTCTGTAGTGCTAATCACGTGAACCACGTTCCAGGTATTTTCGGTGATGTGTTATGGCAAGGATTTCGAAGGCGGTCGGGAATTATCGCGGGATATTGTGGATGAGAAATGCGATGACATCGACGTTTTCCTGAGAGCTGTTCATGATAACAGCGTAATCAGTGGTGAGTATACAGATGTGGAAGGGAAAGAGAATTCAAAAATCATGTCGAGTGGAATTTTGCTTGCTCTCCATGTTTTGATGCTTCTATCAGATGGCAGGTGTCAGGAGAATAGAAGATTAATGCCAACCTCTAGAGATTAGGCGCGAGCACATTTTTCAATATGCGCTGGCATAGCAAACAACGAAGATGAATAGCAAAAACAAGCGGTTAAAAGAGAAAGAGAGATCGGGTAGTAGCCAAAGCCCTGTGTTAATCATTATATGGATAATCGTTTTCGTTGTTGATTGTGAGGAAGCAAGAATGTTTGATAATTTAGTGTGATAACTGACAATTTGTGATAGTTCCCACACCTCTACTCTAGATCACCAAAAAGATTCGATTAGTAATCAAACTGCTGCTTACAGTAGCTGGTAGTAGCCAGTCTCGACAGATTCTGTATGCTGCCACCTGATCAGGTAATAAGATAGGCGCACATCGCCAGATCGTGTCCTGCTGATGCAGGTGCACTCCTTCAAATGTGGCGAGCAGCGGATCTGAAGAATGGATAACTGCTATATAGCGCCCCGGACTGCGAATGCTGCATTAATGCTAATACCACACCAATTATTGTAAACGTTTTTTGGTATAAGCCTTAACCAGGACTACACAATGTGCAAAATCTCAAAACTTCTCTCTCCCTTCCTCCCCCACTCTCTTTCATTTTTGATTTTTTTCGCCACATATTTGCTGCCATATGTGCAATCCAGTTCCTTTCAGACAGTCAAAATCCCGCCAGTTTTTTGAACATCTCTTAAACATTCCGTGGACAAAATATGTATTGGAAAGCAAATAATGTTGTTTCTTAGGCTACAGCGACAGTCCAACTCTGAAGCAGTGTGGGAGCTGATAGAGCAAAGCAAGCTCTCTATGACCACTACCATTTATTGCAAATTTGCGCAAAGTTAGTAACAAGTCCATATGCACTGACTCCAAAAAGTGGATGTTTCCCTCAAAAATTCTTGCGAGATTTTCATCGATTTCAAGCTGTAGATTCACACAATCATCCACATGAACACTTCCTGTATTCTTTTATTATGGTGAGAAAACAACAATAATGGGAAAAGACCAACCCCGCCACATAGCCTAGAAGCCCAAAACTTCTACAGACCGAGTTTGCCATCTACAAAGATCGTATTTTGAATATCATATTGGACTCTTTCCGTGTATGCAGTTGTATGCTACAACCCCTTAAGACATGAAGTTATGGCCTTGTACATGCTCTAGTTTCTGAGAAATATCACATTAGCTTAGACAATCGAAATTGGCGCCATCAGTCTTCGTTCGATAATTATTTCATTTTTTTGTAATTATTGGAACTTTCCTCGTGCGTTTTTAATGACGCAAATGAAATCGGATAGTAGGTACACACTTTTCTGCCGATGAATTTGTCAGCCAAGTGTTGCAATCGGCAACCGCTGAAATCTTGTAAATAGGGACAGCTCAGCCTTTTAGTTTTAGAGAGAAGGGAGGGATGGAGGAAATTAAATGGTTGGTGTGAGCACTTAGAATAACTTAGTAGGAAAGAAGGAATCCCCAGATTTTTCTGCTACTTGTTAGATTCAGTTCAAAGCATTTTTTTGTAAGAAATTCCGTGGGTGATTAGATCCCTCCCAAGTTGTGATTTGGAACCGGTGCCGCATTAAAAATACCCAAAAAAATCTTGTAATAAAACTCTTTGCAATGAAAGCGAAAACCATATCAACTTGAAGTCGTTTATAACAACAAAAAAATGGTTTCGTTAGTATGGGGCAAACACATTCGTGTAAAACACGGCTGAAAGGTAGTACTGAGTTCTGATTTTTCAGCCACCAACTTTGCCTTGATTCTTCGTCTCTCGCATAAGTACCAAGTTTTGCCAGTGATTGATGCTTGCCAGGAGTTTGTAAAACGTACCGATCTTAAGTAGGTTCAAATTCATTTGCTGTGTTTTCTGTGGAAAGAAAGCATTTTTCTAGTGCTCTTAGCCCTGATGAAATCCTTACTTTACTCATGGCTGCTTATGAATTTCACTGTCAACGCGAAGTATTGGTACAGCTCATTCGACGATTAGCAAACGAAAGCAATGCTGTGTTTGCTCGATTGAGGATTAGCAGGTTTTTGCCGGCCCAGGTACTTACCATAACTTTACCGTACTTCCCATCTCTCCCTCTTTCCCTGGTAATCAAACGTTATATTTCAGATTTACGGTGCAGTGATTTCCGCGTCGATGAATTTGGCTCAACTTCGCGAGTACGAAGGTATGAACGGGCACTGTTTGAAGATGGAGAGATCCAAAACTCGATGGCGTAACTCGGTTTGCGAACAATGTCGAGCAATTTGCGACCAATGTGCAACATGCGAAGAGTGTAAAAAGGTCTGTTTGCAGGATATTCATGTGATTTGAGACACAGAACCGTTTTTTGGCTAAGTTCAAATGTTTCGTACTTCGTCGCATTGCAATTTTAACGAAGGGCTGAACAAATAGAAGTTGACGTTTATTCGCTTACGTGTTTATCAGATGACCTAGGCAGCATCAAAGCGAGGAAAGCGGATTGGAGGTTGTGGGAAAGCTTGGAAGAAAAAGGGGATGGCCTGGTACATCTTGGGTAGGGGAACGAACTCCGCTAATTTGGACCGCCTACGCGGAATACTGGTCCTGCCATGTCATGCAACAGCACTGCGAAAGGACCAGTTGCCAGCGAAGGTGAGCCAAACTGGCGGAGTTCATTCCCCTACCTGTGCATCTTTGCTTGTTTGCTTGATTTCACGATGAGTTCTGGGGTTTTGGAACAGAAATCTTCACTTTTCTGCAAAGGAAATCATAGTAATATGCATTTTGATTGAGGAAACTCGCAGCATATCGTGGAGTCATTTGTAACCTGTTACGTGAGCATGCACACAAAGCGCGGCGACTGATCTCAGACACTCGCACCGGTCGGCGGCCGCACAAAGACCGGCTGGTGGGACCACAGTCAATTTCATTCAGCCGCGTAGTCTACGCCCTCCGGCCGGTACGTGTCAGTCGCGCAGCAAAGTGGTTCTGGGGCGCGATTCTTCTTCGTTTTGCAGCCTTCGCTTTGCCCCTCCCCCCCCCCCCCCAATAACAAAACGTAGTACAGAACCGCAAAAACAAATCCATTCATTGTATAAGCATACATAGTGAGGAAATATTTACAAATAAGACTGGTACGTAAAGCCTAATGCAATATACCTCTAATGAAGCTATGAAATTTGGACGCTTCTTATATCCACGAGAAAATGACGTTTCTTTGCACATGTGAGCATCCATTCGACGCAAAAACTACACATCGGACCGCTACTCATTCCAAATTGACTAGTTGCCGCACTCTGTATTCTTTAGGGTGACTCTCATCTCACAACCGACATCTGCAAACGAGATAAGTTTTTCACAAATGAGATCATTGATACCAAGACTTATTACCTGCTCAGGAACTGCTATTTATCAGTGGGCGGAGCAACTCATAGGCCTATTCCAGGAGGCGTTCAGTGAATGTTTTCCTAAATCACTCACCAAGATTAGTTTCTATCAAATGATTGGTATAAACCCACTGAACTTTTGGAGTTTACGCAATTATAGGCATAGGAATACCGCGAATTCTTAGAACATGAGATATATTCAGCGTCCGTAGACATGCAGCAGAGTTCTAGAATAATCAGCAGAGGAAAAGTAGTCCGTGAACGCATCCTGCGATGAATAACGATAGTTGAAAGGCCATAGGCGTTAGCATGAGTGAGATGTTGATCCCGATGACCATGATCAAGTTCCATGGGTAGAATAAGATTTCAGACACATACAGTATAACGCACCTGTCTCTGAAACATGCAATTTTGGTTTTTTATTCACTTATCTAAAATAAACGCGAACCTAGACTCTATACCTCGCGAGCAGCATGTTTCAGCTTGGTATCCCCTGTCTTTGAACATCTAAGACAAGCCCGATGCGAATTTTCAAAGAGTAAGGACTACAAACGTCTTAATTTTTCCTTCGACTCTGAAAAAGAATACAGTGAAATGGGGTAACGTCAATTCATAATGCGGCAACGTTCTGAGCACCGCAGCACCCATAATCTCCAGATAAACATACATAAACAGATACAAAAACGAAACAAAGAAGTTACAACTACGTAAATTAAAAAAATGAATAAATAAAAATACAACTACGTAAATAAAAAGAAAAGCGCGACTTTCCTATGAGGCTCGATCATGTAATGTTTGAATTTCATGCGATTCCCGCACTTTGGTACATGGACCCTAGATATATACCGGCTGGCGACCGTCTGATCGGCGGCCGGCCGGTATGATTCTTTTGGAGCGGTCACCGGCCGCATTTAGCTCCGCCCAAATTTATGGAACGGCCGACCATTGGCAGCAGAGAACGCTGATTCTAAATTTGTCTTCGTTGTCTGTTAAATGCTCTTGGGGACGAAGCAAAAAGCCATTATACTGTTAAGAAATCATGCGTGCTAGGCGCAAATTTGGGCGTACAGAGCCATGTTCGTGTGAATGCCAAAACATGCAGCTAGTTTACTTTATGTAGCCCATTATGTACTATTAGCTAATACATATCCAGTCAAACCAAAAGAGGCAGGAACAAGAAGAGACACTAAAGATTGGCAGTTCTAATCTTACACGTTCGTCAAATACATGGGGTGCAGTACGCATATTAAGTTACAAATGACTCGAGGATATGTACAGTGTTTGTTTTCTCTTTTTGACAGATTGCCATTCAAATACAAAAAGTAAGGTATCGTGCAGCGACCTTTTCAAATGATCCTATACTACTTTGAAGAGCGTTGAAGAATGATTCCAAAGCTGTCTTCATTATCTGCCATCATTATCTGCCAAGCGCCTCTGGATGTCGACGTATAAATTAGAACAAACTCGCTCAGAACTGTTCAGATGACCTAGTGTTAATTATTAAAGCACCTAAATCAGCGGATAGCTTCTGTCTGATATAGTTGACTGCACGGAATCGCCCGAACCGAACGCCCGCGCGCGTGTCTCTTGCGAATTAGCATTGGCATTCACGCGCATGAGTCGGCATAGTGCCCGTGCTCGAGAGCCGCGTTGCAGGCACGCTCGCTTGCGTTCAGCCCACAGCGATCTGGACGATTTCGTGCAGTCGACTTTACACTTATACTTAACAATTCTGTACTAAGGGCTGAATACCGTAAATGATTTCACCCAAATTCTGCGTTCATGTTTCTCTCGAAAAACAGTAACCCGGCATCCAGAAGCGATTGGCTGATGATGAATACATGGGGTCTTCCTTGTCAGATACTTTCTGATTTGCAATTGTAGTAAAAGCCCATTTAGATACTGAGATTAAAAGATACTCGTTCAAATTATAGCAATTACTATTAGTTGCTAGTGAGCTTCGGTGGTCCCTTCTAGGAATATCTTTCCAAAATTACGTTGATGACCTGGATACCGCGAAAGTGAAGGCAATGTCAAACTTACTCTTGCTTTTTTCAACTACCCCATTGTATAGGGCATTTTCTTTTGATTTATATATGTAATAAATCTCTCATGTCATACAGGTTTTTATGATGACGCACTTCTTCTTCTATTGAAGAGGATGTTTTCTTAGAGAACATAGATCAAATTAACTGACTCCTTCTAGGCCTCTACGACGGTGAGTTTTAAGTGCAAGGCAGTGAAGGGTGTCATAGAAAAGCTGTATGGCATAGAGGTCTATTGCATTAATCATCTTTCATAAATGTACGTTTCTTGAAAAAAGCCATATAATATTTAAGAGTCTATGGCAAGTGGAAGAGGATCTGGGGAGTTTGAAAGGCGGATTTCCTACAAATTTTGTAACCTGATTAAGCCCTTTTCGTGGTGAAATTATGTAAAACAATGCCTCAAACGCTTATCAGTTTTCTTATATGTAACAAACTGTATGCGATTGAGTTCATTTTCATCACTTAATTTCGCTGTTGTGTCCAAACTACTGAACTGGCGAAAGAGTTTTAGGAGATTGAATTTTGACGGTCTCATGAAAATAGCGAAAATTCGAAAACATAAGATCTTGCCTTAACGTAGATATCTAACTTAAATGATGTAAAACTCTTAGGATTCTCGTGATCTGATAAAAAGTGGACACTTGAAGGCAGTGTCCCACCAGACTGGAGATATCTGGCTCTCGTAATGATGTGATAGTAGACCCCCCGCCTAAGCGATGACTGAAGTTCGGAGCGAAAAAGGGGGTCTACCAAGCCTGAAATTTGCTCCGAAAGTGGGCCGAATCTTACGGTAGGGCCGAACGCCGCCCACTCGGCAATATCGATTTGCAGGGCCAGAGTGCGTATAGCGCACACATCATGAGCGAAACGGACCCGCAACGGCTCTGCGTCTCTACCTTGCATGCACCTCGAGCCTACCGTAAGATTCGGCCCACTTTCGGAGCAAATTTCAGGCTTGGTAGACCCCCTTTTTCGCTCCGAACTTCAGTCATCGCTTAGGTAGGGGGTCTACTATTACATCATTACGAGAGCCAAGTACCAGTCTGGTGGGACGCTGCCTTTAAGTACATGCAGACATTAACACATAAGAAATTCGCCCCTGAAAAACAGGCCAAACAAAGCAATTGAAGATTGGCATACTCCGCGCTCAGGGCTCGGCACGAGGTGGCTTACAAGCAAGCTGGATATCGTTTCTGGGACGAAAAGCAAAGGGGGTTTCGTTTTTGTGACCGAAGAGACACGGAAAATTGGCGACGGCGACCTTTTTTTTTAGTCGACGTTTCGTTTTTTGGGGGATTTTGGGGAATTTCTCAGATTTTTAGAGGAAATTTGGTTGAGGGTCAAAGGGGACTTCGTAAAAATTCCCAAAAGTCAAGGGGGACTTCGTTTTTTCCATTTTCATCTAGCCACCTCGTGCCGAGCCCTGTCCGCGCTCATTGACAGTAGATTTTTCCCATTTGCTAACATACAGTCTGTTTCAACTCAAAATAGGCGAAACATTTGACGTAGAGGAGCACGTCCGCACTGCTGGAGCCTTTGCGAGCGCACAGCTCTGGCATTATGCTAGGCAAAGACTGAGGAGAATAAAGAGACGCAGACATGGGTTCCGAACCGCGGCAAGCTCCCGCCAGTCTAGTTTCTGCCTAAACTGGGTTGGAACTTACTCTATATAATAAATATTGTGAGAGTACATCTGCACATTTCTATTCTTGTACACTTATTGTCAGATCCTGAGATGACTCTTTTAGCTCAAAAATGTCCGGTGTTAAAATCATCTTGTCAACCCATTAATATCCACTAACTTATACTTAGCAAATGATCAAGAGCTCCGTTGTGTCGCATTAGCAGAATAACATTACTTACTGTACTCTTTCAGAGCTTATGCAAACGTCATGTTAACGAGCTGAAATGCACGACAAACTACGGGAAGAAGCTGATTACAGAACTCAGAGAAAACATTGTCGAACTTGATTGGAACGACTGACTTTTGAGTTTGTCGTTTGCATTTAGTCATACCCATCGGTTATACAGGTTGATGTCGAGTTTGTACATAATGGTAGCGTACTTAGGGTAAGTCTAAACGAACCTTGAGTTTCGTCTAAATTGCACACTAGCTACAGGTTGTGTTTCTCGTATTTATAGGATTACATGTTCGAATTCACGACTTCTCTCATCATTTGCTTTAATTAGGTAGAATTTGCAGACTGGTTTCATTACTTGTGGGAATAAGCGTCAAAAATCGTATTAACCAGGACATCAATAAAGTGTTAATCTCTGTCGACAATCACTTGATCACCAGACCATAGTGGAAACGCTTCGATGGCGCCTGTTTTGAGGTCATAGTATGAGAACACTTGGTGGTATCTGACCAGAGCAGATAGACACGGGAACTGAAAATGGACACATAAAATTGAGAAATGTTAATGGAAACATGTCATATGTCCTATTCTCTTGAAACCTGGGCATATTGTGGTAACTGATTTCAATGCTTTTCTTCTGCAGTACAGGTTGTTATAAGTGACACTTTATCGCCTAACGTTTCGGCACAACGCCGTCCGCTTCGATTCACGATTTTGGCCGCCAAACATCTCCCACTCGAATTCGAATGGTCTTCAGTGGAAGCAGGTAGTTTGCGAGTAGAGTTTAGCTCACCAGAATGTGCCACCGTAATTTATAGCAGTATCAACCGCTTCAGATGTGTTTGAACCGACTGCGGTGTTGATGTCAACTGACTGCGATGTTGAGAATAAACAGTCGCGATGTCAACGAACTGCTTAGATAGAGCAAGTGACCTTATAGTTTGCAATATGTCAGATACGGCATTAGATTTCCAATTATATATAATTGTTCATTCTTGTTGTTGATTTTGGGGTCACGGACAAAAATGTACTCGAGGGCCTTTTTAGCGGAGATATGATTTTCGTAGGCCAGTATGCACTCAATGTCGAAATTGGTACCGCTATGATCCATCTTTTCATGGTTTCCTAGCGGACTCATTGCGTTTTGACGCTTTTTTAAGCCAAATGCTCATTTAACGCACGCACGATGGTCTACTTGTTTCACCGATGTAGATGGCACAACACCCTGAACACTCTATTTGACACAACGCCAGACTTCGAACAAGCTCCAGCTTTCCCACAGGTGCAGATTACGCAATTTCGCGTGATACAAGTTTTGTTATAATACCGGTTACGTACCAGTTGTGTTTTGATGTTGTCTCAGGGATTCGCCAAGATAACTTCGTTCTCCAACTGTGCTCGTATCAAGATTGTTTTATCGCAATATGACCTTTTCGGAGATGTAAGGGAGGCACAGAGGTATTCTTTTCATGTTCTGTTCACTCCCCTTTGATCAACAACAAGAATTAAAAATCATGACTTATAATAAAGCGCTAAGCGTCTGTCTGTTTGTCTGTGTGTGTATATCTATCTGTCACGAAATTCACAGAGCGAGTTGCAGCCAGCGTCTCGATTTAGAGTTTTGGTCATAGCACCCTGTCAGAGTGTAGGTAAACTGTGCGAAATCCCAAGCCGATCCAGTAAGTGTAACCATCGAAAACTGTGCGTCAAACGGATCCACGCGACTTTTGGCCCGCCAAAATGGGTCGGTAATTGGACTTTTTGCAAAGTCGTGGATTCGTTCAGCAAGTAAATCCAAAAAACATTGACTTCAGCTCAAAAAGTAAGCAAAAATTCTATTTTTACACAAAATTGGCGCCAAAAAGTTGTAACTGAGCATATTGTCGATTTGCCAATTTTCTATTATAAAAATTGAGAGGATTTTTGAGTAAGTATGTAGCTCAAGGTGGTCTTTACCCTTATGGCGACTATAAAGCCAAAATAAATTCAGTAACCCATTCAAAATCGCATTTGTTTTTCTGCGGGAAAATTTTTCCTCCCAAAATTACCGATCTTACATGGAAAAGCTCTAAAAATGAATGGTTGTTTACAATTCATTCGTGATGTTCAGCATCGCGCGGTGAGTTTCAAAGTCAATATTATGCTATCACGAAGAAGGCACGGATAGTAGAGCCAGTGCGAACCTCTGCGCAGCAGAGGTGACGCACTGGTTATCTATAACTGGAGATCTAATGCCATATCTGACATAATGCAAACTATAGGACCATTTGCTCTATTTAAGCAGTTTGTTGACATCGCCAATATCAACATCGCAGTCAGTTGCGACTGTCTACTTTCAACACAGTAGTCAATTCAAACATATTGAAGCAGCTGATACTGCTGCAAATTACGGTGGCACATTCTGGTGAGTCAAACTCTACTCGCAAACTGCCAGCCTCCACCGAAGACCATTCGAATGGTCGAATCGAAGGAGATGTCTGGCGGCCGAAATCGTGATTCGGAGTGAATGACTCCTTTCAAGCATCTGACGACGGCGTTGTGCCGAAACGTTGGGCAATATAGTGTCACCTATAACAAGCTGTACGCCAGAAGAAAAGCGTTGAAATCTGTTAATGGACAGTTGAGAATTGATCTTGGGTATCAGTAAAATTGTAGATCTGCGTGGTGTACTATCATCATCGCACATTTAGCAACTTTCGGAAAGGTCCACCGCCGTTGGTGGAAAGTCCCGAAATGCCACTTCTCGCGCTGCCCCGTCTTGCACACTATACTTTGGGAAATTCGAAATTTTTTTCGAATATTCGAATATCGAAATTCTCGAATATTCGACTATCGAATATTATTCGAAAGTTGAAAACTTCGAATATTCGACTATCGAATTTTATTCGAAAATCGAAGTTTTCGAATATTCGACTATCGAATATTATTCGAAAATCGAAGTTTTCGAATATTCGACTATCGAATATTATTCGAAAATGGAAGTTTTCGAATCGAATAATATTCGAAATTCGAATATCGAATACCATTCGATATTCGAATTTCGAATATTGTTCGGTTCTCGAATAATATTCGATTTTCGAATATCATTCGATTTTCGAATACTATGCGAATAAATTATGTCAGTGAGACTACCTGTGAGAGACCAAACCATCTCAGAATAAATTTTTTCAGGTATAGACATTTTTTTATGTTTCAATTTACAACGAAAAAACGGTTCAGTTGCAGCCGTGGCAAGAAGGTGGGTGCCGGATTGTGGTGATGTTAAAGTAGTCCCCCCACCTAAGCGATGACTGATGTTCGGAGCGAAAAAGGGGCTACCAGGCCTAAAATTTGCCCCATAAGTGGCCCGGATCTTACGGTAGGCTCGTGAGTACGAGATGCATGCAGGGTAAAGACGCAGAGTCGTTGCGGGACCCTGCACTCATGGCTGTGTGCGCTATGCGTTCTCTGGCCTTGCAGTTCGAATCCGCTGTACGGGCGGCATTAGGGCCTGCCGTAAGACGGGCCACTTTGGGAGCAATTTTCAAGCTTACCAGACCCTCTTTTTCGCTCCGAACTTCGTCGCCGCATAGGTAGGGGGTCAATTTAACATCGCCACAAATTCCCGGACCCATCTTTTGGGACGCTGCCTTTAAGAACCTAAAAGCGTACTTGACGGTTGTAAGGGAATTTCAAAAATCAAAGAAGATTATTTATCCTCATTGAGAGTTGTGGACTGACATAGGTACAGGGGTCCCAACAGTATGTGAATCCGTGGGTTGACATCAACCTAGACTTACAGTATGAAGCGATGTATCGTTCGCTTTTCACACTGTTGTAAATTACCGTAGGAAAACTGAGGAGGGTTTTGAGATATCAAGAGCCGTAAGAATGAGAAACAAAAAGGCCGATCTTACACTAGGCTTCTAAAGACACTCACTATACAAAGAATTTGCACTCAACCGTAACGCCTTTTGCAACTTATGCCAGGTAAACCATAACAGATGTTTTTCAACGCTTTTCAAAAAAGAGAATGCACATTTAGAAGGCTTGATAGCCCGTGCATAGTTAAACATACGTAAAATCCTGCTACATAGATTTGAAATCTCTTTTTGGTGGGGAAACTCTTTTGGATGTCTCATTTCGCAGTTGCTCTATATGCTAAGTTCATACCGTGATAACACAACAGGAAAAACATAGGTGATTTGTTTTCTGCTGTATTTTTAAGCTGAAGTCATCCCTACAGGATGTTACTTAAAGGTTGGCAAAAGACTTCGTGAGAGGTATTAGCGATTAAACAGTTTGTACTTACCCTTGGGACACCCCGTATATGTTGTGAATATCGAATTTCCGAATATTCGATGCTTCGAATTTTCGAATAGTCAATTCTTATCGAGTTTTCGAATATTCGGTGCTCATCGAATATTCGAATATTCCATGGACATCGAATGATCGAATTAATGACCATCGAATATTCGACTATCGAATAATATTCGAAAGTTGAGAATTTCGAATATTCGACTTTCGAATAATATTCGAAAATGAAAATTTTCGAATATTCGACTATCGAATATTATTCGAAATCTCAGATTTTCGAATATTCGAATTTTCGAATCATTCGCATTCGAATGATTTATTCGAATAATCGAATAATCATTCGGTTCGGTCCAAAGTATATTGCACACCCTCCATACGAATAACGCTCTCTTTACGCCATCACCTGACACGATACTTCCGCTAGTCCCCAATAATATCCGTTCCCGATTAGCATCCATCCCATGTATGAGTCAAATGAGCGTGTTATTGTAAGCACATGCTTCGGTCGCTGCTTATTTGCTACCGATATACTGATACTGTGCCCATTACGAACAAAACGTTCTAAGGGTTAATCATATAGCAAAAGGGAAGACGAGACACGCAGTACCCAACTCTCAAGAACCACATGTGCCAATGATGCAGAGTGTATCCTACCGCAGTTTGTATAATCATCTATATATAAAACTCAAACTTTGTGTGTTCGTTTGGTTGTTGGTTCGTTATGGAAACGCCCGCCAATGAACCAATTGGGCTGAAACTTTGCACACATATGTATTTGACCCCGGAGTTGGTTTAGCGCTACTTTTTGCTTTTTGCTGGGCTAACAAGGCAATTAAATGTTTTTGTGTAAACAATAGCAGTAGAGTTCATTCGATTCTCGCGGTAGGAAGGATGCAGTGATTCAAGACGAGCCTTCAGAGGGTAAGTGACTTTGACACAGAAACTCCCTGTACGCAGCATAATGACTAGGTGGGAAGGAGAGGAGGATGGGGGGAAGGGGCTGGAGCAAGGGGCGGCTGACGTGGCCCGGGCTAGACCGGGAAAACCAGCTAACCTCGAGTCATTTGTAACTTAATATGTGAAATTGCACACCAAGCCCTTTAGCCCATTGGCATCCATACTGGTAACTTTCCAGTAAAACATTTTCTAGCCTAACAAAATGTAGAAATGTGTTCTACTGACGGATATATAACCAACTAAAACAAATGAAACAAGGAAATAAGGAGAACTCACTAGAATTGAGCAGGTTCTAGTTTCGCAGTTCGTCAGTTAGCATGTATAGTGTGCACTACGCATATTAAGTTACAAAAGACTCGACGATAGTTACTTATAATAACGAGCTAAGGATGTTTACTGTTTTTGTGTGGATATGTGTAAGTCTGTTTGTCTGTCGCGAAATTCGTGGAACGGTTGCCAGCCAACATCTTGAGCCCAAATTTTGCACAGCGCATGCTACCAGCATGAGAGTCCAATATACCAAAGCTTGAGCGGATCCGTTCAGTGGATCCTTTGAAAATCACAGCCAGACGGATCCACTTGGCTTTTGGTCAGTAAAGTTGAGCCGCAAGACCTTTTGCAAAGTTCACGGATATGTTTGACAAGTTAATCTGCAAGCCACGGACTTTAGCCTAAAAAATTGAACTAAAGTTTACTATCTATACTATAGTTTGCTATAGTTTACACAACTGATCCCAGATTGTGTGCTGGAATCATTCGATGTAATGTCCTTATATACAAATGTATCGAATGATGCGGCGATGCAAGCGATTTACGAACTCCTCTTAGAGCATCAAAGTTCCCTAAACCTGTATACGGCTTCAGTCTCAGTAGCATCATGACCCTTCTAAGCGAATGCTTAAAGTGTTCCATATTTAGGTGGTCAGGTCACTACTATAAACAGGTTCGGGGTTCAGCGATGGGACAGCGATTAGCGCCAACTCTAGCCATAGTTTTCATGTCCAAAGTAGAAGCGCCCGTGCTTTCGAGGGAACCATTGCTATATTGTCGTTATATAGATGATTGCTTCATCATTTGTCCGACGCAAGCCGAGATGGATGTTTGTTTCAATCTTTTAAACCAGCAATACCCAAATATTAAGTTCACGCGGGAAAAGCCCAAGGAAAATTGGCTACCGTTTCTCAATGTACAAGTACGGCTGTGCGGTGGGGAATATAAAACTAGGTGGTACCGCAAACCCAGCTGCAAAAACATTTTAGTACATTATTTGTCTGCGCTCCCAGCATGCTTAAAAAGGCGGTTATAAGGAACATGTATCGGACAGCAACAAAAGTGTCTTCGGGCTTGCAGGAGCGAAGTTACTCTATGGAGTTAGCTTATCAAGTAGCTCAATCTAATGGGTATGCCGGTGAGCCTATCCCAAGCCCTCGCGGGTTTGTGGGACGCAGAGCCAGTTCCGGCAGCCCGGATGCGCCACTAACCAAAATTAGTTTCTGCTTGCCGTTCGTATCAAATAAGATAAGCGCGGCAGTGCGGCGATGCGTTCATCTCGCGTATTTGCAAGACGATGTCAGGGTGGTCGATATACCACCCTCGAACCTAAAGCGTCAATTGGTCCGAAATCGATCTTACGATCGTACATGCCTAACCCCAGCTTGTGTCGTTTGCCCATTTGGCAAAGAGGATGATTGCATGATCTCCGGGGTTATTCATCTCATCACATGTTTATCGTGTGGTGATACGTATATCGGAGAAACAGGACGACCTCTTTGCTGCCGTGTTAAAGAACATCTGGATGGGTTAAATAAACTGAAAGCAGCTACACCGTTAGGCAGCCATCGCATTTCGTGCCATGAAAATGCTGAGATCAGTATTGGAGTGACTATATTGGAGTACGAGCCCGACCTCCTAGCGCGCAAAACTTTGGAAGAGTTCTGGATCAACGCCAAGAATCCAAAGATGAACCGGAAGGAAGAGTGCATAGCCATCACCAATGAACTGGCGTCATATCAATACCTCTGTGGGTTTTGATATGAGGTCAGGTCACCCCGAGCGCTATAAATAGGGAAGGAGGCATAGTGTGAGTATATGGTGGTCTGACACATCATCACACGTTATCGAAGGTGAGTCTTGGTTACCCGTTCTCCCTTTGCCTTTGCCTCTCTCCAATTTGACTTTCGTCTTGAGCTGAGATCTTGGCGTCTAGGAGAATGTTTCACTTATGTTTTCGACTTTCTAGGCTCTGACGAAGGCGATCCCGCCGAAACGTTGGCCGTGAATAAAGTGTGGCTGATATCTTGGTCGAAGCTCAGCAAACTCAAACGATTATCAACTTTGATGCCAAGATTAATAAACAACCGAAGTTGGACAATAAAGTTTACTACTTTGCAAAAAGGGCGCCAAAAAATATTTGTTGCGTAAATGCTCAATTTGCCAAGATTTTACCCGATAATTTGAGAGGATTTTTGCACGGAGATGTAGCCTACAGTGATTATTGTATCTTATGGCGAAAACCAAGCCATGAAAAGTCCAAAAACCGATTCAAATCTGCATTTGTTCTTTTGGGAAAAGTTTCTTCCAAGCGAAATTACCGATCTCACGTGTTAAAGTCTTAGGAATGAGTAGGTGTTTACAAATCCATCGTGATAGTCTGCATAGCGCGGTAAGTATCAATGTCATTATTACGAGAATGAGTTAAGGGCCGGGCATACTTCAAGCGATTGCAATCGCGACGCGATTTGGCAATATTCCATAACTCATTGTAAGCACCTTATAAATGTACAGAAGATAGGGCATTTCATCAGTTTACGTAGGTTATACACACTATGCATGTGCAGTTTGCTAATGTTGGATCCGAACACTTCTGGCGAATTGCCAAATCGCGTCGCGACTGAAATCGCGTGAAGTATGCCCGGCCCTTAAGGCATACAGACAATAGGTCCAATGCGAACCTCTGTGAAGCAGAGGTGCCGCACAGGTTACTTATAATAACGAGCTAAGGGTGTTTCCGTGTTTTTGTGTGTGTGTGTGTGTATGTCTGTGTGTCTGTCTGTAACAAAATTCATAGAGAGTTCCAGCAAAGTCCTGAGCCCAAATTCTGCATAGCGCTGTCAGCGTAGAACTCTACCATGCAAAACCACGAGCGGATTCATTGGTTGGGTCCCTCAAAACTTGCGCGTCAGACGGATCTACTTGGCTTCTGGCACGCAAAATTGGGTCCGTTTCAAGCTTTTTGCAAAGTCGTCGATGTATTCGACATATTATTGTGCAAGCCATGGACTTTGGATCAAAAGATGACCAAAGGTCTACTACTTTACGAAAACGACGGTAAATAGAAGTGGTTGCTTAAATGGTCAATCCGCTGTGCTTATACCTGAGGTTTTGAAAATTTTTTGCATAGAGATGTAGCTCACGGTGACTAGTGTCCTCATAGCGGCCGCCAAGGCAAAAGAATTTCCAAAACCTATTCAAATTTTCATTTGTTCTTCTGCGAAAAGTTCCATCCACGCAAAATCACCGATCTCTCATAAAAAAGCTTTTGCAATGAGTAGTTGTTTACATTTTATTCGTGACAGTCGGCATGGCGCGGTGAGTTTCAAAGCCATCATTAGGTGAAAGTGAGTAAGGCATATAGAGTAGGACCAGTGCGAGCCTCTGCGAAGCAGAGATGACGCACTGGTGTAAGCATAACTAGGAAGTTTGGTAGCTAGGATCTCCAACGATGAGCAGCGTTTTACAGGCAATACTAGCGCTACACAAACACAGCTACTATTTACGCCTATTTTGTATCCTCTCACAGACGGACCCAATTCACCAATGCAGGAGAGTCTCGCCCCTTAACGACTGGTGCTGAGCCCAATCCGCGGCAGCTTCGCAAAATTGTAGAATTTGGCCCGTGACATATCAGACACTGAGGACCAGTTCCCGTACGTCAGTAGATGCTAAACATCTTACCTCCTTAGCTTCCGGATCACCATACTCCACACGCCAGTACGTGGTTTCACTGCCATCGTCGTGTTTGGCCTTTCTACAAGTCAGTGGGAAATGGAATGGCTGAAATTGAGATAAGTGAATTTTGCAGCGATTGCGATTACTGACAAATGAAGACCTGTCCTTGATTGTTCTTATATGCCATATACAGGTATGCCTTGTCGCTGAGTGGTTCTTCAATACGATAGTAGAGCACAAAAGCTGATGGGTCGACTTTGGCGGCTGCCTCAAACAAGTATCATTGTTATGAGAAGTGACCAAGTGACTTGGCACAGTCCACCTTAAAGACACCGTCTACCCTAAGTTGGGGTCTTGAGCTTTTGGCAGCTCATGATAGCAGGGCCCACTATCAAGAAGGCCTAAGTCGCGGCGCAAAATGTCGCTTCGGAAGCGAAAAAATCGCTTCAGGATAGCGAAAAGGCATGAGGACCCCAAGTCGGCATTGCCCCCTCCAGTAATGCCCGCTCATCCGCGCATCCATCCAATGACGTTGCGGAGAACCGGTCTTCAGGACCGTATCGTCGGGGTTTTCGCCAATTCTCGACTTATATTCGGAATCAACGACATGAGAAGGCCCCGAAGCTGCCAAAATATGGAAGTCGAGTACAGGGCCCGGCGGGGGTGGTGCCACAAGCTGGATATCGTTTTTGGCCTAAAAAAGCAAAGGGGAAGTCTTATTTTGAGGTGATAAACAATGCACATATCATTCTTTATTCATCATTCCTTGTTGATGCTACTGTTCTATGAACTTAGATTCCAGCAATGTAAAGATTCCGTGCTCCGATCGCTAGCCTTCCCGCAGACGGGAATTCAAATCGCAATTCTTGTAAGAGGAAAATAACAAAATAGGCTCGTTTTCAATGCACAAGTAACGATATGGCACCAAATTTGCTGTGTAGTTGGAGGACCATGAGCACAAAAAAAGTATGAAGAATTATGAGAAACTTATGTGAATTTGAAAAATGGTAAGTGTTTTTCGAAATTAGGTGGCTCCCGCGCCACCTGGGAGCCACCCCAGGTGGCTCCCTGCTTCCCTTCACATAATTTCCCGGATTTCTTTACATAAATGTGGACTAGGTCGAGAGTATTACTATATGCTCAAATCCGCCTCTAAAACCACCAAGGCACCGCTTCGATACAGCCCCAAATAGGGTTCACAGCGTTATGATCGGCCTCATAAAGCGCGCTCCAATCGCAATCGGTTATTGTAAATTGTAAAGTTTCGCAGCTGACTAATAAATGAGTAGTATCTTAGATATATAAACGTCAAAGTTTGTGCAAATCTTGACCCTATGTGAGTTTATTGCATGCAGATAATCTTGCATTTCAGTTGTGTAGTTTTCCAATACGGCCAAGCGCGACTAACTATCACACCAAAACTATAGATGACCACCATGCAATAAACTGGTAGTCTTATTTTATTGTGGCGCAATGTATGCCAGGCCCTTTAAATTGGGGGGGGGGGGGGGGGGAGGGGTGAATTAGTGAGAGTAGGGTTTGAGAGTAAGTAACAGGCTTTGCCATCAATGCCCAAGATGCCCAATGAAAGGTTAATACAGAGCGAGAAATTCGCTGAGGAATACTGAAGGGTGACGTAGGGCGAGATCGCAACGCCCATATAAGTCTGCCCGCGCTCTCAAGAATTCTTGTCGCGTTTTGACGTCGCAAACGCTAACGGTACGCACTTTGCTTATGCGATTGATTGCTACGCCAAACTTGTCTTGCCTACAACTGAAAAAGTTTAGGCGTGCGAGCCCCAAAAAAGGAGTGTCATCCGATATTTTTGTGTTATATGAACTTCATATTTTGAATCAAGGTCATGAAAAGGAATGGGAACGATGAAAGCCAGAAAGTTGACGGTTTAAGTGGACGGTGCTTTAAGCAATCTTGAAAGTTAATCTGGTCAGCTTACTTCTTTTGGTGTCGAACCACCAATAAATGCTTGTTCAACTTCTGGATCTGGTCTATCTTCTGCCTGAAAGTATGCGCTTTCAGAAGACGAAATTTTGTAATAAATTCTACTTGATTATTTGCTATGTGAGCACTGTTCAAATAAATGTCGGTGGCAGTCGATCGTGCAGGTGAGATTATAGGTACCTAGATAAATTCGATGATTCGATGCTCTCATGCGAAAGTATCCTAGTCACCTCCAACGGAGGCATGCTGATTATTCGTTCAAATTCACTCCTTTTACGTGGCTTGCGATCCGGCCAAATCATACGCTTCTCACGATTTATCTGAAACTTACTCAGACACTCGCAGCTGACTCGCGCAGGAGCAAACAAGATCATTGGATGCTTATTGATTAATGATCGGTAAGCATGCAATAAACTCGCTTGCTCCTGCGCGAGTCAACTGCGAATGTCTGTGTAACATTAAGAGCCTGTGAATGTGACTGAGCTCACAAGTCGTCCGTATTGATCCTCCTCAACGCTGTAGTCCGGAGCTGTTCCACTTTTAGGAGATTGCGTCGACATTCTGCACATATCGGTGTATATACTCCTCAGCAGGAGGAAAAAGACGGTAAAATTACAAGTGCTGTTGCTTTCGACGATGATCTCCTCGATGAGGCATTCCGTTGAGGGCTACGCCAACTAATGCCGATGTAACAGTGGTAAGAAATGAAGCATACCATCTTTTTCGCAAATAGAGTAAACGAAAAAGACTTACGTCAACAAGTTTTTTATATGAACTGTGTGCCTACTGCTTTGCCTGATGTAAACTTGTTTTCCCACCGGGGGGGGGGGGCAGGGCTTAGCGGAGGTAGTAGCGCTTTCACTCGCAGTATATCGTTTTGTGGAGGAGAAGCAAAAGGGAAATCGTAAAGTTCTCAAGGGGGATCTCCGTATCTGATAGGATAGCAAGAACAATTCTTACACATACAGTAACCCCGATTTTGAAGTTCTAGCGTCTTTCAGCCATTAATAGGTCAATTAAAAGCTGCAAACACGATCAGTGCACTAACTTGTGTTCACACAATTCCTAACGTGTTAAAACATGACCTTTATAGACAAAAAGATACACAATAAGTTATGAACAACAGTTGGTTACAAACAATAAGTTTGTACAAAGTCTAAGCAATACAGAGCCATCAAATTTGTTGTATAGCTTCGCGACGATGGGGAAAAGATATGTATGAAAAATTATGAAAAAATTATGTGTATGAAAGAAGTTGTAAGTGTTTCTCTATTTTGGGTTGCTACCGCGCAAACTGGGAGCACCCTGAGTTTGAGGTTGCGCGAGACCAAACAAAGCCATAATTTACCCACTTCCTCACTTAATTTTTCAAAATTTTTTACATAAATTCATTTTTCAGTGAGCGCTATCTATAACACTCATGTCCCAAGTTTCGAACCCTCCGTTTTTGCTACGGCACTTGACGATATGAAAACCTTCTTCTTTTTCGCTTTCTATTGTTTTATCCCTAATTTTGGGTTGCTTCTCAGTATTATCCACTCATCGTTCGCTGCAGATTTCAAGCCATAGTCCACCAAGGGTCCACTAAGCGTATAACGTACTCGTAATTTTCACGGAAATAACCTTAAGAATTAAGTTCCAGTTCCCACCCAAGTGAAGTGGTCATTCCAAACATCATCTTATATATAAAGCTGAATGTCTGTTTGTCTGTATGTATGTATGTATGTATGTATGTATGTATTTATGTATGTATGTATGTATGTATGTATGTATGTATGTATGTATGTATGTATGTATGTATGTATGTATGTATGTATGTATGTATGTATGTATGTATGTATGTATGTATGTATGTATGTATGTATGTATGTATGTATGTATGTATGTATGTATGTATGTATGTATGTATGTTCCGAATAGAAAATTCCATTTCTGAACCATTCCGGACCAAACTTGGCACACATACACTTCGGGCCCCGGCGGGTGTCATAGGTACTTTTCGTCACCGATCGATATCGATTTTATCGATTTTTTGCAAAATTTGAGCTACGGGGCTGGGAGTTGGCACAGGGGGGTAATCGAGCTGATCATATAATAATGACAGGGCCGGGCGGAGCCGGGTAAGTCAACTAGTGATTTATAATAACGGTCTGAGGGTTGTTTACGCCTTTTTTGTGTGTCTAACACCTTACCCCCATCATCCTGACACCTTGCCCCCTCATCCTGACACTCGGTAGACGTGTGCTACTCATCGTCTTTGCGTCCTCCGTTCCCCCCCCCCCCTCCCACTTCTCAACCCAACTATTATTCCAAACAATGGTTCGACAAGCTGCACGTAGGAATGGAGCTGAGGAGGGCGACATGCCGCTATGGGCAGCCAAGTTGATCGAGCGATTCGACGCATTCTCCACGACATTCGAGAGGACCGTAAGTGAGTTACTTACTCAGCTTTCGGGTAAAATTGAAGAAATTTGAATTTCACAAAGAGCAGTTTTGGCTCATTTAGAGAGCCTAGAGAGCAGACTTTCGGAACTGCACTCTGGCAAGCTCAACGAGCAGAGTCTGCTCTGCTCTACCCTTGTCAAAGTGGCAAATTAGAGGAGAAATCCAAAAGGATTGCTCTTGTAAGGATCGATGAGCAAGACGACGAGTCGGCCACTCGTCGTTTTGATCAGGAGATCCTAAGGGAGTACGTTATACATCGGGTGAAAGGGAATTGAAGAAGTTTGACAAGGGCAATGTCTCTGTCTATCGTCATCCTCCTGGGCAGCCGAGAGGCTCTCAAGCCCGTGGTCGTATTCTAAAGTTAGGCCTCCGCTCGAAGGAGTTGAGGGATAAGCTTTTAGAACACATGAAAACTGAGCGGCAGAGTCTCACGCAAAGGTTCGTGCACTCATATGCCAGGCGCGACTACACGAATGAGGAATTGCAGTTGGCTCGTGAGCTGCGCAAGCGTGCGGGGGATCTCAATGCTAGAGAGGGCAAGTTGACTTATGTCCGCGATTTTGACATCAAACTCCGAACACTATGCGACTTGCCCAGGCGCTCTTTGGCACCCTCCGCCATTCGTCGCAATGGGTTTAATGGCGGAAGTTCTGGGGTAGGGCTGGAGCAACGCAGTGGTGCCTCTCCCCCACTTGCCATGTCCCCTGTAATTTCCTCTCAGTATACCTGGTGTGCTCAGCGCACACTAGGACAGAATTCAACAAACAGAAACTACCCCCTGGTATGACGTGTCTGATCAAAATGATATAATTCATGCTCGATATCCAAATTTTGCTAGTTGCATGATTTTATCCAACGCACGCTCAATCTGCAGTAAACTGCCCGAATTACATAGAACACTTTCTTTTGACCCATCTATCCTCTTCATAACGGAATCATGGTGCAAACCAGATTGCACAGATTGAGCTGCGCAAGCATCATAGGATAGTATAGCCTGATAAATATCAGCCTGATTTCATGCTTCCTGATTATGACGCTGTAAACATGAGCTTATTAGAAGTGGATTGGCGAAGTATCGTATTTAGCGCATTGTCGGCAGATCGTTGTTATGAACACTTTCTTGAAGTGTGCAGTAATGCTATTAACAATTTTGTCCCTCTGAGTAAAATCTGCCGTGCAGCATGCTTTTCTATCCCAAAAGGATACCCAAGCTTGAGGCCAAGGTCTTCAGGCTTTACCGTGCAAGAAGCAGAATTGGTATCCAAAAATATAAAGGTTCTCAAAAAAACTCAAACGTGAATTATACCGCTGCAGACTCATAGAAGAAGGCAAAATTGCCGACAGCCGAAATGTACGAGCGTTCTTTCGCTTCTGCAATTAAAATTTGAGGGTGTCAAATAGCATTGGCACTATATACGACTCAACCGGGTAGCCCTCCGCGTTTGATATGGAGAAAGCTGAGAGATTTGCCGAATTCTTCAAATCCATCTATAAGGACCCAACAGTCTCGAATGCTGATTGTCCACGTTTTACAAATGCGAAGATTAATTATTTGGATATCACCACTGATACAGTATATTAAGTTTTGAGGCGACTCCCCCTTAGAAGATCCACATCTCCTGATAAACTGCCATATATTTTCCTTAGGAAAGCATCGTTAGGTATAGCCCCAGTACTAGCTTTGCTGTTTCAAAGATTTCTTCTTCATGGGGCAGCCCCTGCCTTATGGCGCACTGCAATTGTTAAGCCAATTTTCAAAAAGGGCTGCAAGGCTGTGGCAGGAAATTATAGGCCGATCTGTTTAACATCATCAGTGAGCAAAGGCTTTGAAAGAATAATTTGTAAACAGATTTGCGCATTTCTTACTAGCAACCATCTTGTGCACAAAGCACAACATGGATTTCTACCCAAAAGATCTACATTATCAGCTTTAACAACGGTACCCTTGTGGCAGGGAGCAGTCAATGGCTATAGAGATTATAAGGAAGCCTTTGACTCCGTGCCCTTAGCTCTTCTCTTTACAAAATTAGAGGCTCACGGCATTAAAGGATGTTTATTGCGATTCCTCAAAGCATTCCTGCTTGAGCGCACGCAAAGGGTGCGGGTCAATGAATCATTTTCTTCAATCTACCCAACAGCAAGTAGTGTATCGCAGGGTACTTGCTTGGGGCTTTGATGTTTTTGCTTTATATCAACGATCTGCCGTCATGCATTCCCCATGATGTACATTGCTCTATATATGCTGATGACACAAAACTCTACTGCTACGACGACCCCAATCTGATGCAGCGCGCCTTGGATGCGGTAGAGAGGTGGTCCGACAAATGGTAGCTTGACATTTCCGCGGAAGAAACCTTTATCATGGCTATTGGACGTGCACATCCCCAGTGTACCTTTCGTATTGGGACATATGAGCTTCAAACAGTTAGCAGCTCTATTTATCAATATCAGTCAAAGAGAATGTTTGCTACAAACTGTTTATTGCTTCACGCCTATTTACTTTACGAACAAAATGATGAGATTTTGAGAATTTTGAGATTGGAGCGTCACTACGTAGTGGGATTTACCGGACAAGATCAAGAAGGCAACTTAATGAACCGTCTTGAGGAGCCATACTGAGGAAAGGTCGAATAGGAAGAGGTAGGCTCAAAAATCTACTGTAGAATTTTCGAGAGTTGTGCTAGCGGATCACGTAGAACTCGGGTGATGAAGCTTCTTCGGCGACAAAGTTAAGGGGGGCGGGCACAACCCCTAAGGCTGCCTGAGCTTTTGTAGCCTTGTGCCATACCCCTTCACATTTAAAACCGGAAATCGCTCCATTCCTGGTATATATTGAGCTCACAGTAGCCTCTTCTTACTACAATGGAAATTTTAAGCCAAATGCCCTACCCCTAAGGGAATTATAGTCTTTTAGTAATTATAACCCTCAGTTGGAGCGAAATAGTGGTCAATTTGCGTGTGATTGCAAGGTGCAGTCACAGAAAATCGGACCTACAGCCAGAAATCAAAAACTTCGGAAATTTCGAAAATTAAAGACCTAGGGGTACACATGAGGTGGATGGACAGAATCAAGGCCGACCTGTAAGAACTTGGAATAGATGAAAGCCTTGCATTAGATAGAAGAACATGGGGACAACTGACAAGAAAAGCACACCCTGCATATCGGAGGCCGACCTGTAAGAAAGGCAATTAGGGCTTCGCCATTTATACGAAAGACCACTTCAACGAAAGCAACGTTGCTCAGTCACGATTACGAGAATTTGCATGGCAACTCAAGCCGATCGGGTTTGGTGGACGTGGCGTAACCTTGATCTGTTCCAGCGACATAATCAGATTGAGCAAGAGGTCGGGCACAAGTCTTTTGAAAACGACCGGAACTTGAAAACCGGAACCTCAGGTGTAACATCCTGGGAGAAATCATCATTTTCCGAAACCAGTGCTTCACCTCTGCTTCGCAGAGGTTCGCACTGGCCATCATGAATGAAAAGTATAGGTAAACCTACATGATGATCCTGGCCTTCATCATTCTTTGATGGAGGAGACCGCCAAGTAATTACAAAAATGAACCTTACTTGGTTTGCGACTCTCACATGCATTTAGGTAATGTAAATCATTCCTCACTGTAATTTCGTAACAGACCTTACAGACCGACAAACTAGCGGCTTATTATAAGTCACCAGTGCGTCACCTCTGCTTCGCAGAGGTTCGCACTGGCTCTACTATCCGTGCCTTCCTCGTGATCGCATAATAATGACTTTGAAACTCACCGCGCTATGCTGAACATCACGAATGAATTGTAAACAACCATTCATTTTTGGTGCTTTTCCATGTAAGATTGGTAATTTTGGGAGAAAAAATTTTCCCGCAGAAAAACAAATGCGATTTTGAATGGGTTACTGAATTTATTTTGGCTTTATATTCGCCATAAGGATAAACACCACTTTGGGCTACATATCTATTCAAAAATCCTCTCAATTTTTATAGAAAAATCTTGGCAAATCAACAATTTGCTCACTTACATCTTTTTGGCGCCAATTTTGTGTAAAGATTGACTTTCTGCTTACTTTTTGAGCTGAAGTCAATGTTTTTCGGATTTACTTGCTGAACAAATCCACGACTTTGCAAAAAGCCCAACTACCGACAGATTTTGGCGGACCAAAAGTCGCGTGGACCCGTTTGGCGCTCAGTTTTCACAGGTTCCACTAATCGGATCGGCTTTTGCTTTTGCACAGTTTACCTACATGCTGATAGGGTGTTATGACCAAAATTTTAGCTCAAGATCTTTGAGGAAGTCGCTCTACGAATTTCGTGACAGACAGACGTACACACAGACACACAGACAAACAGACGTAAACACCCTTAGCCCGTTATTATTAAGTCATAGATAATTTTTGATTTCTGGCTGTACGTCCGATTTTGTGTGACTGCACCTTGCAATCACACGCAATTTGACCACTATTTCGCTCCAAATAAGGGTAATAATTACTGAAAGACTGTAATTCCCTTAGGGGGTAGGGCATTTGGCTTAAAATTTCCATTGTAGTAAGAAGAGGCTACTATGAGCTCAATATATACCAGGAATGGAGCGATTTCCGGTTTTAAATGTGAAGGGGTATGGCACAAGGCTACAAAAGCTCAGGCAGCCTTAGGGGTTGTGCCCGCCCCCCTTAACTTTGTCGCCGAAGAAGCTCCATCACCCGAGTTCTACGTGATCCGCTTGCACAACTCTCGAGAATTCTACAGTAGATGTTTGATCCTACCTCGACTTGTTTCGGCTTTGTGTGATCGGTGGATTTGAAGCACTCAAGGTGGAAAACGCGGTAATTGAAATTTTGGCAGCACTTTATAATCCATTATGCAAAGCGATATGGAGCCTAAGTTCTGCCATAGACTGATAAAGAGTATTACTCTGTTATGGGTACAAAAAATCTGACTTATTTCACTTTTGTGACCAAGTCAATTATGAGTCAACCAAGTAATCACGCTTTTTAGATGTTTAGGAATCACTGAGAAATGTAATAAGTAATGCTTTGTAGAGCTTATAGAGGTAATTTGGCATGCTAATGACTCTCAATGACCTTAAGGTATGTGTAAGATAAGAAATGAAGAACTGAAGTTTGGTTGAGACTTCGTTAGTGGAGCTACTCAATATGCTGTTCAAGACAGTCATTCTTTCGGCGGTGGATTTGATATTCATTAGTCTAGCGCTTCATTTTTATTACAGATTCACTTCTTGATTACGACCTCCCCTCCCCCCCCCCCCCTCCCCCAAATTTTACCACCAACATACCTCCCAGGTCGGGCACGCCTGACCCCACGCTCAACCCTGGGCATAATTGCGAAAATGAAGGGCACCTGTCTGTTCCTTTTCTAGCAAACTTGAAATGTAACGGACGATAGACTTCAAATGATATTATAGTTACCCGGCCAATGATGGCCAAGAATAAAACTCTTTACGTGAAACGTAGTCGGCTGATGTACCTAAAGTGTTCCATCACTACTGTATTAGATAGTCAATTTCTAAGTCCATGGAACTCTTATAAACTACTAGCTGGCTTACCCGGCTCCGCCGTATGTTCCGTATAGAAAATTCCATTTCTTAACCGATCCGGACCAAACTTGGCACACATACACTTCGGGCCCCGGCGGGTGTCACAGTCCACTTTTCGTTATCGATCGATGTCGATTTTATCGATTCTTTGCAAAATTTGAGCTAGGGGCTGGAATTTGGCAGAGGGGTGTAATCGAGCATGCTGATCACCCCCACGGGGGTGATCAGCATGCTCGATTACCCCCCTGTGCCCTCCTCAAATTTTGCAAAAAATCGATAAAATCGATATCGATCGATGACGAAAAGTAGCCTACGACATCCGCCGAGGCCCGAAATGTATGTGTGCCAAGTTTGGTCTGGTTCGGTCCAGAAATAAATATTTCTATTCGGACATACGTACATACAGACATACATACAGACATACATACAAACAGACATTCAGCTTTATATATAAGATCGAGAGGTCATAATTTTATCAATATGTCAAATAATGTGTACTCCACTGCTGCGCACGATCTTCTGCCAGCTGACACCGTCAGATTGTCAATCCCTTTTTCGCGAACAGAGCGGACGTGATCCCAAAAGTCATTCCCGGAATCTTTCCTTAAAATCGGAACAGTACCATTCAGATGGTCTACAAGAGAGCGTGACAGACGTTAATTCGCTAGATCGAGAGCTGAGGAGTACACCGGATACTAATTGTAAGATATCTCTCACATCAGTCAAGTTCTGCAGGACCCTTTTGATGGCGTTTGCAGCAGAATCAGGTTTTTTCATGCGGGAGAACTCACTACCTCTTCCTATTCGACCTTTCCTCAGTATGGCTCCTCAAGACGGTTCACTAATTTGCCTTCTTGATCTTGTCCGGTAAATCCCACTACGTAGTGACGCTCCAATCTCAAAATTCTCAAAATCTCGTCAATTTTGTTCGTCAAGTAAATAGGCCTGAAGCAATGAACAGTCTGAAGCAAACATTTTCTCTGACTAATATTGATGTATAGATTCCATTTTTCATTATTATCAACAAATTCGTGAAAAGAGCACCCCTTTCCACAATTCGAAAGTGTGAAAATTTTGTCTATTCAGAATTACATTTCTATAATTGTGGATCTGAAAGCATATCAGTTTTTCATCGAAACCGATATTACGTTATGCTTTACAATTTAGTCACGCTTGTAGATCTTAAGCTGGTACCTTTCATTGGATCAAAGTGATACTTTAGCTTTGGTTTTTTTTCGTTACATGTCATCTGGCGGCAGCAGAACAATCCATGATCATTTCTCATGCCTAACTTTGGAGAACCCAGCTGTAGACTGATCTTCATGGAAACCGCGGGGTCATGTAAATCGTCAAATTGTGTGCAGGAAAAAATACATTCATTCAAGTAGATAGAAATAATCATCAGTTAAAGATCATAACAACTGAGGTGTAAAAATAGAAACAACTGAATAAACGATGTATTAGTCGTACATCTGCAGAAAAATGAAAAATAATTGAACAAAGCAATCAATCAAATGGTTGACCCGCTAGTGCACGAAGATGCACCGCAGTACTTTGCGGTGCTGTTAGGCAGAGTAACTAAAAGATAATCTCCTCTCTGCAATAGCCACATTCTGAAGCTTTACAATCATGATTTTGCTATAAATTGCCGCAAAAATTTCGCGAAAAGGTAAACCACTAATTGTAAGTACATTTGGAATGTTGCAAAGGCATATCATTCAATCCGTGCCTACTTCTCCTCCACTGAATGTTGATGATGGTGAAGATGATCACCGTGCTTGTTTACAAGTCCTGCCCGTAGTAACTCAACTTCGTCCTTGATTTTGCATGGCTCCGTCGGAGGAGGAGCAGCAATCTGAAATTTTTGAAATATGGAACCTCGAAGAATTGAAATTTTCGCAAGTTCATAATCTCCTCCAGCTTTGATAAATCGAGTTTATATTAAGAAGGATTTTGCGCTTCCTAAAATTGCTAATTGCAAGATCAAAAACGTGTTGGCATATGCAACAGTCCACTATTGTTGAAAGAAAAACCCAAATGACCTTAAATTGCATGCACGTTACTTAAACCTATTTTGCTTTGCTTTCAAAGTCTGTTCCTTCTACCCCAAAGATACTCGTTAAACGAATATCCCCAAAAAGTTAGTTTTCGATATCTTGAATTTAACTTTTTATTTCAATTCAAAAATGGTTTCCAATAATAATAGATTATACCTTTATCGTATGTCATGAAAAGCATTTGATGTGATATATTGTTTCCAAACATTTTTAGGAAGATTTCTTGCTGGTGTAATATATAGTTATATCAATATAATGGCTCTCAGGATTTGTACATATAACAAATCCATAAAGGACGGGTCAAACTATTAGGTTGTCCTTTATAATGCAGGTTTGATTTTCAACCATAAAGTACTCATTTCTAAATATGTTGCAAAATACTATTCGATAGAGCAAAGCAAGCTCTAAGAAGGCGATCATGCTTTTACAAGAGCTTTCATCCACCTCGAGTTCGAGCCAAGAACTGAAAACATCCAACTGCTTGAAAAATCGAGAAAAATCGTAAATCAGTTCAAAAAATCCTGCAAAAATTCTAACTTGCTCACGTAAACAATGTCCACATAAGACGTCTATATGCGCCGTTGCTGCATTTTTTTTCCTCCGTTGGAAATCAAGAGAAAGGAAAACTTCGTACATTTGCCAAAGTGACGCTGTGCTGTCCCGAGATAATTAGTTGTACGCTGCAAATCAGTAGAAATAAAAACATAAGTTTTCAGCTCTCTACAGGCTTTGGTTCTAGAAAAATATCGAATATAGCTTTCCCTGGTCAGGTGGTCTAAGCTAAAATTCATTTCTCGAGAAATAAAGCTTGTAGAGAGCTGAAAATTTACGTTTGTACTTCTACAGATTTGTAGTATACAACTAATTATGTGGGAACGGCACAGCACCACTTTGGCAAATGCGAGAAAACCACAGTTTTCTTGATTTCTAACAGAGAAAAAAATACGGCAACGGCGTATATAGATGTCTCATGTGGATGGCGTTTCGTGAACAAGTAGATTTTTTGTAGGACTTTTATGAACTGAGTTACGATCTTTTTCAATTTTTCGGGCAGTTGAATCTTTTTAGTTTTTGTCTCGAAACTCGTGATGGATCAGAGCTTTCGCTAGAGCAAGAGGGTCATCTTGTAGAGCGTGCTTTGCTCTATCGAATGGTACTTTGCGACCTGTTTAGAAATGAGAAGTGTATGTTATTGCGGTTGGAATTCAAAACCTGCTATAACTTCCAGACAACCTAATACAAAATTTTTCTGATCTCAGCTAGAAAGGGGATAAGGTGCTCAATTTTCCATAAGTATCATTAAGTATCATCCTTTTTGTGACTAGGAGACTCACGCTTCGCACACGTTGTCAACAAGCTCGAAGTTATTTCCTGATTTCAAGTGTAAATCATCACTAACAAAGGGACGATCCCAACTTAAGGTGGCAAACTGGGATGTACCGCATATTGTTAGATGCGTCCTGATGAGCTGATTCCGAATCTACCTTTCATATCTGCAATGCGTTCTTCGAAAAAAGTTATGAGCGGTTGAAAATGTGAAGTCACAGAGGTTTCAATGCATAATATGCTTTGGATCCAATTTGAGAGTGCATGAATCATGATATGGAGTGCATTGGTTTCAAGAAATGTTCACGTTTACCGGAAACACAAATATGTTTTTCAAACAACCAAATCTCGAGGGTGTGCCGCTGAAGGCTTGCCAAAGTTGGATTCTGAACGCTGGATGCTCATGCCTTTTCCAAAAAACTGCATCGCAGATGTGGAGTGCAGTTTTGGAATCACTCCGCAAGTCGCATCTAATGATAAGCGATTTATTCCAGTTCGCCACCTTAGTTAAGATCGCTCCCTTGTAAAATAGATAACAAGTACGAACTCGTTATGCAGACGTATGCAAAGCTTTCCATTCTCCTAATCTCGGAATAATGATATATATGTAGATAGCATGTATGCAGGAATATTTGTGCGTATGTTCTCAAAATTCACCTCATCTGGCTTTGGAGGTGGTGATACAGGTCGTGGATGCTCCTCTTCATCTGTCTTTACTTCTTCTCCAAACTTCACATGGTTTTTATGGGTGCTGTGTTGTGTTAAAATGCCTTTATGTTCGGAGGCCATGACTGAAAGGAATGAACATTTAATTATGGAATAATGTGATCCAGTAACAGTTATTATTCGATACAAATGAGATTAATTCGAATGAAATAGAAATAACTTTAGCTACAAATAGACTCTATAGCTACAAATAGACTCTACAAATACAGTCTGGGGGGGGGGGGGGGGGCAAGCGTTATGGAGCAAAGTTACGCCGCATTACCCTGCGGTATATCCTGAGGGCCATTTGCGTTGCGTCGCCTTTAATTGCTCAGGAGTAACGCTGCTCCTGCCAGCGGATTGAGCCATTCCCTGTTACCGACCAGATTTCAAACTGTATTAATGCAATAAAGACAACAAAGAAGACTAAATTCAGAAAATTCAAAACAAAATAGATGAGTTTTAGGGATGAATCAAAGGCTCATTTTGGAATGATCCAATACTGAATATTGAGTTAAAAGTGTTCAAGAGAAGTAGAACACGAGAATTAGAGAAAACGGATAGAAATTTTCCGTCAGTAACTTCCCAAGAAAAATTACTTCCTCATCTTTTACTTTCTCTTGGCTTGCTTTGCAGACACTCCTACCTCATATTCTTTGTTCGAAATGCGTATATCATTCACGTTTTGATCTCTTTATCTATGAAGGATGAGGAAAATGGCTCAGTAGCACTAGCTCCTCTGCGACTGCAATTAGGAGCGACGCAACGCAAAGGGCCCTCAGGATATACCACAGGCAAATGCGGCGTACCTTTGCTCCATAACGCGGCGCCGCCCAGTCTGGGATAGATGAGCGCTGGAAGGAATCATCATAAAAGCACGCAACAAGTATTAACGAGATAAATATTTGCAAAAATTTACAATATTTCAAAATTTTCAGACTTTTCCGAAGACACAACCATGTAAAAAGTGAAAATGATAATTAATTCAGAGCATAGGGAAGGTTACACGAGATGTATGAACTATTAACGGATGCTGACAACCAGCTCGCATTGCTTGAATCTATCATTTTTCGCGAGATTATCCAAGTCTCATAACAGGAAAAAATTTGCCATTTTCACTTCAATGTTATTCATGTTATTAACACTACCTGCTATTGATTAATATTCAACTAAAGTTCATGGAAATAAGCATATTAAAAGCCCTAAAACACCACAAAATGCTAAAGTCAAATGAAATGCAAAGTGAAGAAGCCAAAAGACTAAGGAAATGCAGCAGTGGGAAGCCTTAATCCAGAACGGCACTTTTTCTACTTGGCATAAAGATAATTACAGCGCTTTTTCTTCGAATACCCTTTGATCGATGTGTAGAAGGTCAAAAAGATGAGGACTTTGTTTGGAATACGGTGATTGTACTTAAACCAGAATCCACGGAGATGATTAAAGAGAATCTATTCTTCAATATTCTCTACCCTTAACCCTCCCATTCGCACAGAAGGGAGCCACATTTTACTGTAAAGAGTCTGAAAAGTGACCTTGTTGTCTAAAAAACATCTTCTGAGAAAAGAATACGAAATAATGCCGTAAAAGCGATGGGTATTGAGAAATAGATACAAAAGATAAGTGTGATATAGACAATATCGTTAACGTAGGAAATGCATAAGGGTGTTTCCAATGGAACTGGTTATAATCTCTGAGAATGTTCAATTCTTAACAACAGTGAACCATAGACCTCACGATTGCAATTAAATAGTTGCTAATGGCTGTTTCAATCAATAAAATCGATATATGCAGAGAAAGCAAAGATGTATGTAATGCTCGTCCACACAGCCTAACAGGCTGACCTCAGTGGCTGCGACTGACGCCGAGGTGCATTGCCTGCGACCACGCACAACCTTGTTTCCTCCCGCACCCCCCCCCCCCCCCCTGCTGTTCTATGTGGTGAACTCTACCTCGGGAAAGGCAAGTAAACAGAGTTAATCTCGACTAATCCTCAGAAAATCTGCTGCGGTGGTGGAATTTTGCATAGGTGTTTTCGTGCGTTGTGTGGAAAGTGGTGCAATATTCGCGTTGGCCTTTCCTCATAGTTTCATAAAGGCAGAAATCGAATTAGTGGTTCTGGCTAATAACAGATTTCACATTACACATTAAATGTTTACATTCTTAGAACAGTTATGCATAATTTCCTAACGCAGAACTTGAAAACGTTTTGTGACTGTGATTCAATAAATTTTATTTTTTGAGCAAATGGAGTACTCATTTTTGTACGATAGCTAAATCGCTTATCAGGATTCATCGAGAGGAGTGCTTGAACTATGAATCTATGGCGAAATAATGGCTAGTACGAACCAAATTGAACTTTAGTAACAACCATGGGTTTCCACCGGAATGTGAGGATTCTTATGTCCAAAAATGTAAAAAACAAGTACTTCCTTGATGATATGTGCAATCACCATATTTCAAACGGAAGAGGATATAGCATTTGGTGATATATTTGAGAAAGTATATTTTGCCCGTATTTTATCTTTGTATCGATTGATTTTTTTTGAACATGAAGTCTCTCTCGGAAAAAAAAGATGAAGAGCTGAGGAGCGACCGAACAGAGTTCAAAATCATTGTTAACTACGATAACAGTGCACATCACCGCTAAACTGCGTTTGCAAACAAATCTGCACATTTGCAAACAGTGCTTAGCGTTTGATGATTGGAAATCAAGTTATAATGGTGGATACTGCAAGAAATGTCTTGTCTCGGAACTTTGAGAGTTTATCTTCAATAACAACTAGAAAGGACGCGAAAAGAACCACTAGTCTCCAAGATGTTCTTATGAACGATGCGAGAAAATGCTGTAGCCCAAGCAAATAAAATCAACTCTCTTAAGTTTGCAAACATGAGCAAATCATATACCACTCATTCATTGATGAGTTACTAGAACTGAAATTAGAGAGAGCTTTTCTAATTATATCTTGATACAAGTCTTATTTGGCTGCGCAAGCTTGATGTTAAGCTGAAACTACAGGCATTGTTCTTTTTTCATATTTGAATCAAAATAAGGCTCAAAGATACTTTCAAATAGGTTTTTAGGCGTATTATAATTGTATGCTCCCATGAAATTTCAAGATATGTCGTGCCAAGAATTTCTGGAACAATAAGAGAGGAAGTGATAGTCCACATAAAAAGGAAACCAAGACCTTTGTAGCGACGAAATAATCATCATCTGCTCAAAGAGGGATGTATCATTTAGATGGAAGTTTACATTAACAAATCTACTTTGCAACTAATGCATTCGAACAAACGAGACAATTAATTAGAAGAAAAAAGACATTTTGCTTACATATTTAGACTAAGCTGATTTATTCACAAAGCTCTGTGACTAAATACTGCATCTACTATTTGCGCCAAACCTAAATACCTTGAATGCTTGGCAGCTTGATCGTGTTCAGAACATAAGTGGTAAAGCGACCACAAAATCTTGCTCACGTCACGAAAGATGACGGACCAGACTAAAGAAGAAGGTGAGCCCCGTGATGCGATAATTGAGGTTATCGTCAGCAAACAAAGCTAATGGGATATGTGTGGATTGGCATGAGATAAGTCTTTGATAGAGATATGCGTGAGAAATCGAGACAAAAGAGATGCAGAATGAAACCAAACTGTAAATGAAGTAACTAAGTTACTGTTTGATTTGATTTACTACGGAAACTGGTGGGAGACAAGTCGTGAGATAATGTAAAACAAAAGATGGGTAGCACAGCATTTGCAATACACAGAACTTTGAGTAAAATATGTTATTCTCGTGTTATTCTCCCGTATCCCAGTTTGTCAACTGTGCTGATCTCGAAGACGCATTCGGAGAGCATGAAAATGTTTAAAACGGGCTATTCCCATGAAAAAACGAGATGACACAGTTCCCGATATGGCGTAAAGTCTGGAAGTTATCGTATGCGGTAGACGCGTTGCGTCCGACTAAGATAATTCGTACACGGAAGAGTCATTAGACGGATGAAAGAGGATGGATAAAAAGGATGAAAGGAAGGATGAAAGAGCGCTTGGTAGAGACGCCGACAACGTCCGCAGTGATGACCTGTCTCTGCGTGCGAAATTTTAATGATATTGTGGCTTGAGAAAGCTTGGAGCTGACAATACCAATAATACTCAATTAGGACGTAATTTAAAGAGATGAACTGACCTTGTGATCATTAAGCACGTGGTGACATGGCGAGATAAGAAGAGAGGAGAATGAAAGATAAGGAATGAAGTGCTTTCATTGAGTAAAGATTGTTCAGAGATGTACAATCTATGCATTTACGTTGAAATGAAAGGTGAAAGATGCAGGCGAAAATGTGGACAAAGACGACTAGTTCTCTAACAACAAGATGACGAAAATGTATTTATCAAAACTCGCACGTCACTATTTAAAAATAATTTCACCTAGTTGTTTTGTAAAAACTTTTCACAATGTAAGTACCGGCCAGACAGAAATCTTTTCCTGCTCCAGGTTCACTTACCAGACGTCTTCATGCCGGTGGTACAGGTGAGCAAATGTTCTGCATGTTCTGTCGATATCACAAGCTCACATGCCAAAATAATGGCTTTATACTTTCTTGACGTCAAGTGTTTGATCAATGGCCGTCTCAAAAAAAAGAAGAGAGAAGCAAGTAAAATCAATCACTGAACACATGTCAGCAATAAGTCAGGAAATTCTGCGTCATGCCTGACTCATATAACTCAATGTGCATTTTACGTGTAGGCGAGTCCCTGCAAACATAGATTGTATACCGATGCGTCTCAATGAGATAGTTCGTATGAAGAGACATCAGACAGTAAGGTGAGAGGGCGCTTGATCTGAGAGACGCAGGCAACGTCAATAGTGAAAATTACGAAGCAAAAAAAGGTTTCTGAAAGTGACTGAAAATGAATGATGACAGACTCTATACTAACAAAGTAGAAGTAGTGTTGAAATTACGAAAAAGGCGTTGTAGGAGCAGATCAGTGTCTGTCCAGCAAACAAAGCTTATCGTTTATTCGTTGACCGTAACGACTGCTGACCGCGCGGCGACCGCTGCGCGTGCATGATGTTTTCGTAGAAAAGATGAATAGAAAGAAAACAGAGGATTCTTCTCATCTTTATAATGTAGAAAAGAAACAAAGAATTCTTCTCATCTTAAGCCATGGTCCAACTTGTCACTTTTTCGCAAGTTTAGAAGGCACGCGTCGCAGTCGCCACGCGGTCGGCAGTCCGTACGGTCAACGAATGAACGATACACCAAAACTCGGTTGTGTTAACTTCCGTGAGGGGGGGGGAGGGGCGTAATTACGTCATGAAATAAGTGGCTGATCGGAAACGCTGCCAAGCAAATATATTAGTCTTTCTGAGCTCCGATATGAGGATAAACTTGCAGTACAAGAACTAGTTAACATTGAGAATTTAGAAACGAAGCGGTGAGAACAAAAAAGGGCTGAAGAACCACTGCTATGACTGCGAACTTTTGTGATCTGAACGTAAGTTGAATCCAACATTTTGAATAAAGGTGAGAGAGAAATGTTGGCGTACCCAGTATTTCCGTTCGGGGAAGGAGGAGACAAAAATTTCTTCAGAGTGATGTACGAAAGATCTAAAAATTTTTTTACAAGGCTTTTGAATTTTTTCGAAAATTTTGGAATCATTTCAATTACTTACAAGTAAACTTTCACATCTTGTGTAGGCCACACTGACAGTACTAGAAACATTTTTTTCCTGGGAGCGGGGTAGAGAAAAGACAGCAAAAAATCATAACTTATAATGACGGGCTAAGGGTTGTTTACGTTTTTTTTTTGTGTGTGTGTGTGTGTGTGTGTGTGTGTGTGTGTGTGTGTGTGTGTGTGTGTGTGTGTGTGTGTGTGTGTGTGTGTGTGTGTGTGTGTGTGTGTGTGTGTGTGTGTGTCTGTCTGTCTGTCTGTCCGTTACGAAGTTCGTAGAGCGAGTTCCAGCCAACCTCTTGAGCCCAAATTTTGCATAGTACATCCTAGCAGCAGGAAAGTCCATTTTGCAAAAGCACAAGCGGATCCGATAAGTGGATCCCCTAGAAATTACGCGTGAAACGGGTCCACTTAACTTCTGACCAGCAAAATTGGGTCCGTATATAAATTTTTTGCAAAGTCGTGCATATGTTTGACAAGCTAATGTACAAGCCATGGACTTTAGCCGAGCAAATTCAACTGAAGTTGATTACTTTACGAAGATGGCGCCAAAAAGAATTAGTTGCGTAAATGTTCAATTTCCCAAGATTTTACGTGATCATTTGAGAAGGTTTTTGCACAGAGATGTAGCCCACGATGATTATTGCCGTTATAGCGACTACCAAGCCACAAATAGTCCACAAACCTACTCAAATTTGCATTTATTCTTTTGAGAAAAGTTTCATCCCCGTGAGAATACCGATCTCACACAAAAAAGCTCTAGGAATGAGTAGCTGTTTACAAATTATTCGTGATAGCCTGCATAACGCGGTGAGTTTCAATGTCACTATTATGCGGGAATGAGTAAGGCATACGGAAAGTAGGGCCAGTGCGAGCCTCTGCGAAGCAGAGGTGGCGCACTGGTTACAAATAAAGTAGCATGAGCTAGTCACGCTCTCCGTAAGAATTTCTAGGACGCTTTTCAGAAAAAGCGGACTTACTACCCGACTTTCTGAGAAGAGGGACCACATTCTACAAAAAAAAATTACCAAAGTGATCTGGTTATCAATAAAATTTCAAACAAATCTAACTATTCCCAATTCCCAAGAGAAAACAGGCCTTTTGCACATTTTTATAACTCATGTAACCTTCCATGATTTTGTGACTCGTGTACGGGGTAGGCAAGAGAAGGATATGTGAAGCACCTGAACATGTGGCGTAAGACATACCTGCAGAGAAAAACCAACTGCAAGATAAATTGACTTCTGATCTGCCTGAAAGCTTCAGTCGCTGGCACTACTGATAACATTAATGAACAAATAAAGCAGTAGCGATGTTTTTTATGGCTCTTGCGTCTCATTTTCACGGCTTGGAGACTATCTAGTCATTTTAGAGCTTTCGCTAAACATCACTGTATTTTGTCATTTAATCGCATGCACTTCTGCAATGGCACAGTTATAAAACATTATAAGATGAAGCAGGTTTTTGGATCAACACAGACAGGTGGAATAGGAGCAGACGTATACAAAAATGAACGAAAACAGCATCGTAAATTCCACTAATTTGGCGAGTGAAGTAAAGGGTTGTCTAGCAATCCTCCGACAGCTGAACATTTAAATTTCAAAAAATTGGATAGAAACTGGAGCATCACATAATCAGGCGTTCCAATGCTATTTTCGTAACGAACACCTCTTCTGGGGCTGAATAAAGTTGTCTGTGGTGAGTGACAACTGGAAAAGGAGAGTGTATGCTTCATTAGCCGACCCTTCCAGCCCATGAATATCAATTAGGGGTTTTAACGCATGGAAGCATTTTCATGGCAATTAGTAAGTTTATCATGTTCAGCCAAACTAGGCAGTGGAAGAATCGTCCAAGTTCGACTCTCGATTAATCTCGGCATGTTGCAAATGCTTGTTGTGGCTTGTTTAGCTGGACACCGGGATTGGTATATCCTTTATTCGACTAACGTTTCGGCGGTATCGCCTTCTTCAGAGTCTGAAATCATCGAATGCATAAGTGAACTATCCTATCAAAAACCGCCTCAAGACTTAGGAAAACGCCCAATGCGTCAGTGAATAAAGAACTCGAAAGTGAATGCAGGATTAAACTAATGCTCACCTAAACAGATGCTGACAAAGTGGTATTGCAGACCACTATACCAGTAACTGAGCTCTTACTTTCTTATATACCTATTCGCCTGGCCTCAAATTGACCTCAGAAGCCGCAAAGGCTCTGATAAGGCGCCAACTCATTAGTGATGTCTATGCACTCATCTTTCCTATTCAAATTTGGGTTTTTGGCGGCAATCCAAAACGCTTCTAAAGTCTTGCGCGCTAGGATTTCGGATTCGTACGCCAAGATCGTGACCTCCACGCGTATCTCTGCGTCATTATGGAACTGTCTGCGATGCTTGCCCAGTGGAGTTGCCAACATGGCAACTCCACTGGGCAAGCATCGCAGACAGTTCCATAATGACGCAGAGATACGCGTGGAGGTCACGATCTTGGCGTACGAATCCGAAATCCTAGCGCGCAAGACTTTAGAAGCGTTTTGGATTGCCGCCAAAAACCCAAATTTGAATAGGAAAGATGAGTGCATAGACATCACTAATGAGTTGGCGCCTTATCAGAGCCTTTGCGGCTTCTGAGGTCAATTTGAGGCCAGGCGAATAGGTATATAAGAAAGTAAGAGCTCAGTTACTGGTATAGTGGTCTGCAATACCACTTTGTCAGCATCTGTTTAGGTGAGCATTAGTTTAATCCTGCATTCACTTTCGAGTTCTTTATTCACTGACGCATTGGGCGTTTTCCTAAGTCTTGAGGCGGTTTTTGATAGGATAGTTCACTTATGCATTCGATGATTTCAGACTCTGAAGAAGGCGATACCGCCGAAACGTTAGTCGAATAAAGGATATACCAATCCCGGTGTCCAGCTAAACAAGCCACAACAAGTGGAAGAATCGACAGAAAGGGGTACAGATGAGAGTGAAATTTCATTGAAGTGGAGGTACTGAACCTGAACTTGAACTTTGAAATTGAACTTTGAATTCTGAAGGTCGACCAAATCAACTAGAGAACCGATGAGTTGTCCTCAAAGGGCAGAAATGATGTCCAAATGAAGAGCGTGGAGGACCAAGCTTACCAAACATAAGATTACTCAGACCTAAAGCTTTAAAAATTTCAACCTTCAGAATATTCCAAGAAAATCACGCAATTTGCTGTCAAAAAATTGCAAATTTGCCTGAACTGCTCCCCGAAAAAGGACAGTTCTATAAAAGCACTCCCGTCGTTTCACCATTGCCCCCCTCCCCCCCCCCCCCCCGCTCTCGAAGGGCAAAGCAAAACCAGAGTCATAGTCTGGTCACATGTGGAGGCATAATACGATGTTTTATCGTCATAGCTATGTGGATATGATGTCATGACCAAGGACTAACGCACTGCATAAACATCTTGCTGGTGTGATGTCGGCAATGTGGGTTGGGTGTTCTTGATTTCCACAAAACATCTGGGCAGAATAAGGAATCTATCAATCATTCGTGGCACACTTCCGACATACGGGCATGAACCAGGCAAAGGGCTAGAGATTCCTCACTAATGCAAAGGAGCCTCTGAAAATGTTACAAAAGACAATTTGAAACCACTCTATATATTTGTCTCATCCAGATCTGAATCTTATTATCATCAAATTCTGTGAAACAATTAACGTCATATTTTGAGAAAATCGTCACTTTTGTGAAGCGGATAACCAATCTTATTTAAAAGAGGAAGGCATCACAAAAATCCTTCTTCATTGAAATTTCTGGTTTCAGGAACTCCCCAAAATTACTGCGGGCCTTTGACCTCAAATTTGGAGAAGGCATAGCA